TCCTATGCTTTCTGCAGTCGATGTTTACAGGGATGGCATGGAGAATTCAAAGCTTGCACTCCGAAGAGAGAGAAAGAAGAGCTTTCTGAAGAAGAAAAGGCTTCGCTCGAATACATGCAGCTTCATACCACACCTTGTCCTACATGTGCCGCCCCGGTTCAGAAGACACACGGGTGTAACCACATGATATGTTTCAGATGCAATTCCCATTTCTGTTATCTCTGCTCTGCTTGGCTGGAACCAGCAAATCCTTACAAGCATTTTAATCAAGAAACTACGGGCTGCTATCAACGACTTTGGGAACTGGAAGCGGGTGATGGGGACGATGTGGGGCGCGGTTTTGGTGGTGGAGTCCAGGAAGCAATTGTTGAGATCCCTCAGGAGGAGGAGATGGAAGAACCTGAGGTGGAGGAACCAGAGCAGGAAGCTCAGGAGCCTGACGAAGAAATCGAGCAAGGCGAACGGCAGGAAGTAGAACGACAAGCCCCTCTTGTCTTGCGTTTAAATCAGCCTCGTCAAGTTGCACAACCTGCCCCCGCAGTCCCTGATGCCCCACAGGCACGTCGTGGGCAGCATAATCGTGGAAATCGACAGAATCAGGGTCGTGGTAATGGGGCTCCTCGTGGTCGTGCTGGTGGTATGAATAGACCAGAAATTCCACGGCAAGGAGCTGGCAGAGGTCGAGGTCGAGGTCGGGGTCGCGATGAGATAATTGCCGATGTCCAGGATCAGGATCAGCATGCAGCAAATCAGGCTTGGGTTCAGAGATTTGTACGCATGGCTTTAAATGACGAAGAAGATCAGTTAGAATGGGATGATGACGAAGAAAACCATGCTGCCTGGGAAATACCAGTTCGGTGACGGATATGATAATTACTAATAGGGTCGGATCGAGGACGTCAATGGCGATGGCGCTAGCGATGGAAACTACATATTTAGCGGCGTTACACGGTTTGTCATTTTAGACGATTGGGATATCTTGGTTTGCATATTAGCGAAGGGCGTGCATGAAGGAGTACGTCGTTTCTGTTTAAAATATTTGACATGATACATACTTTACCTAGTAATCAAGAATATTACTCAATGAATGCCTACATAAGGCTTGTCATGTATCAAACTCTTTTGATCTCTTTCGAGCTAGAAATCATATCGTCGGATGGTACATACATCCAAATATCAGAAATGCAATCTTCTGCGATACACACAACAGCAGTTCAAAACATGAATAAAAGCTCTAGTGAGCCTCATCTATCGACAATCAAATCAACAATTCGATTTGAGACATTGGGCTTTTCGAAACACAGAACATTGGATGTTGCAAAACCCAGTAAACGAGCCATTGGTCCCTGATTATGATCGCTGCTATCGATGACATCACGACTTAATATCAAGCTGTGGTGAACAACATATAACACCATGTTACCTTTCAATCAAATCACGCAGCACATACAACGTCTAAATTCATAGGTCCGACAAACCTCGAAGTTGACAATCTTAACAATCCCTTCATCTCCAAAAATGTCAACAGGTCCCTCCACCACCACACCCGCCTCTAATCATGAACCTCAACCCGATCCCATCGCTCTCACCGCAATTCCAGAAAATCCTAAAGAAATAAACTATACACCTGATCCCACATTATCCATCTCCCTCTCCCCCTCGCGTCAGAAGATAGTAACAAGTATTACATCGCTATACAGCGGGAGCTGTGTGGAAGGAGGCACCGGGGAACAAGATATGCATGTTTATTCTGAAAAAGCGATTTATGATGATCCGTGGAGTTATTGCGATACAAGGTTTAAGATTGCGGGACAGTGGTATGGTGAGTTGTTCCCCGAGTGAAAGGTGTGAATGGAGGTTTGATCTTGAGTTGAGTCCAAACTGGGACGAAATGCCAAGTTTACATTTGACGAACAGATTCAAGAAAAAGGAAACTAATGCAAGATAATTGAATAGGGATACCTATGATAATGGGATCATCTAAGACTCTTGCTACAGAAATTGTGAAGTCTTCAGATGACGAAATTGTGTTTAAATTGCGGCAGGAATATAGACCAAAACTCTTGCCAAAAGGAAAGGTTGTTGACAGTATGTACTTTCTTTCCCTTTTAGCCCTCTTTCAGTCCTTTAGAATTCATTTTTCCGCACTCAATATCTACCAAAGCATCTGATACGTGACTTATATATGTGATAGGTCTTATAAGCTTGAAGCTTGTGAAAGAAGGAAATGAAGAGAAGGTTATTTATCATAAAGATATGTGGAATGAAAAGGATTATAGTCATGAGGGGTTGGGGAAAGTGTTCAAGACGCTGAATGGAGATTATTTGACTGGAATCACAAGACCTCCGAAGAGTTTGTAGAAATAAGAGGGTATCACCTCTGAATTTCATGGGCTGGGAGAGGAAAGGGTCATCGAGTGGTAAGGGGCAGGATATTATTATTTATTATTTCTTATTTATGACCGTATTTGAAAGCGCTTGAAGCTTTTCTATAGATCTTCACAAATGATTAGCAATCGCAACTTGCCATCCTTTTGTGCGGAAAGGCACAATTCTTAGGCTGCCCGAAAGTAATCTACACTAGTACATGATGTGCAGATAATTTGTGTTGCAAATACTCTATCACAGACCCTTCCTATCCTATGAGTTATCTATAAAGCCTCGCTTTGTAGTAGTCCCTCTTCGTTGCATCTAGTTTGTATAATCAACTATATGATATTTTTTCTTCATCACATCGTCCTGTGTTCATTGACTCTAGGTTTGGTCTCCCGCTTGATAGTTGGCTCTCGTTCTGATCAAGTGAAATATACTGCTAGAAAATGCTCGACCTGGTCCACTCCCTTCCCATCAATCTTTCTAATCACTGGAATGTTGCTTCTATCCATCAATCTTGGGAGATACTCTTTCAATATTTCATGATATCTATTGAGCCTATGTCTAGCATTCTCAAACTACAGATTCAGGTCTAGTCTAGCTGGACATCCATGATATAGTACTAAGAATTTATCTTCCACGGAGCTAGTAGTCACAGCACTGGCGATATCTAGAGTCTACTTCATAATTTACCACTTGGAAATTGTAATGTGTCAACAGAAGATAGAATATAGCAAGGTCGACTTGAGGTATCCTCAGAAATCTTTTGCTAGTGCTATTTATGCACAACAGGGAGCAGCACTTTTCGTCCAATTATTTTCATAGATCAGGCTATTAGAATCAACTTGAAAGTTACCTCTTGATAAAGACAAAGGGGCTAAGTTCTATTTTTACCAAAAAGTAACAGAAGATTTGAAATACCGATACTTCCATATCACCACAAGTGGTAAACGACCATGATCAAAATTGGAATCAAGCCAGTCGATCAACAACAACTTTCTGTGCCACTTATTCCTATTCACCAGCACGCGTATCCCCTCCCTCTCCTCTTCAAATCCACATCCACTAGCCTCTATGTCCACATCTACCACCTCCTCCTATTACCCACGTATGTCTACCTTGTCCCAAAAAAGACCCTTTGCTCGCCAATCTTCAAATCCATCATCTCAAACCACTCCTGTCTCACCATCCACCCATTTCCCAAATCTCCACTCCTTCCCGTCCCTTCCTCACTAAATTTTCTGCATGAATCAAATACACAAAGGGAAGCTCGAGACGATATATCCACATGTAAAGAGGGGAATAAGTAGCTAGTATACTATGCATAGGGCTGCGAGAAGATCGACATTCGTAGACGTTAGGAGCGTTATGGCTACGGGAGGGGTGGCGACGGGATACGAGGGAGGGGTCTATATTTGGATATTTGGAATTGGTGTGGAAGGATGGAAGGGATTTGGGTTCTGGAATGCTCGAGAAGGATGAGAGAAGAGTTGTAGAAGGTGATCGGCGGTGGTAGCAGAATTATGGAAATAGTGTTCAAAAAGATATGAGGTTGTGTGATTTCGGATCACATGAATATTATCATTTCGACAGCATGCATGGAATCCAATTAACCTATTGCGACTTAGACTTCCCGTCCATTCGATCCCATCTTCATGTTAAAATTTTGCCTTCCATCACTCTATCTCTTTCCTTCCCGCACCTCGAGTCAGACAGAAAAGTCAAAAGATGAAACATCATGTCGGGAAGAAACACCATGGTAAGCTAAGTCCGATTTCGTCCGAGTCGCGAAAAAAGTCTGGTTCGCAATCTAATCTTTTCATAGATAGTTTACCAGAACTGGTAGTAGTGGGTGTCTGAACTCACCTATCGGATGGAAGGCTACTTTTTGGATGATTTTGCGGTTTTGGGTGTTTTTGCTTGCTATTGTTACTGGTTCTGGGAGCTTTGAGATACAGAGAAATGAGGGAAGTGTGAAGCTGAATTGTGGTGTGAAGAGGAGTTGGCACGAAGTGAATTTGGTGAAATTTAATCGGTAGAAAGCACTATTGAGGATATCTTCAGAGCAAGATGGGAACCAAGTAATATCATCTCATAATGATCAATTCTCTAAAGAGGTAGAATATAGTACACTTCCCATACTTTCTGTTCTACCAAGTTCATTTTATCATCGTAAATCTCATCTCCTCATTGCTTTACCACCACGCGCTTTTCCATACGACTCTCCAAAATAAATTTCCTCATCCGCCACCACAAATTCTAGCAACATGTAAGAAAATTCTATCTCCCTCTAGAGCTGTAGAGTACAAAAGGCGTATATAATATCCAACAAAAGAGATATCCATGGGTGCGGGAGCAGCTTTCAGTTCCCTGTTGTAGGTATTGATGGTATATGAACGCCGCATGACACAATCTTAATCTTCCACCTTCCAATTCCTCCATATCCAAAGACTCTGATAATAGACATAAATGAGAAATAAAACATAAAAAACCAAATAAGCTGGTATCATTAGATCCGAAAAAACTCCCTTTCCTAAGTTACTCCATCCTTATTTTCTTTGCCTCTACTCCAATATACAAACAAACCCCGCGTTCAAAGATCGATGACGCTCAAAATGATAGACAGATCATATCCATTGGCCATTGCTTCCCTGTCTTAGCCTTGACTGTCGACGGTTGGAATCCGATCTAATGGGGATGGTCCTCACGGAACCTTTTCGCTGGGGCGAGTCTCCAGGTGGTGTGTAAACAGTTGGACTCAGTTGGAATATTGCATCTGAGTTCTCTAAGCGTTCGATTGCTGGCTGTTTTAGGGTTGATGGTTTTGGAACCCCCGGGAGAGTCTTGTTGACGAAGGATGGTGATTGTTGCGGTGAGGTAGAGCGAGGAGAATATGACATGGTAGGGGATTGTTGTCGTTGATTGGTGATGTTTGTACTGGCGGTAGGAGGAGGTCGGAATGGTGAGCGAGGTGGGATTGGAATGGAATTTCCAGTCAGATTTTTCGTCTGTAGTGGAGGGAGATGAGCTCTAGATGGAGCAGTCATGGTCTTTGGAATGGGATTCAATTTTGATGTAGGAGAGTAGGTCATTGACGGGGGAGCGGGAGTTTGAAAAGTAGTCGCGGGAAGTGGAGTCAATTCGTAAGTTGTTGCTGGGAGGGCGAAGGGGATAGTTTTAGGAATGACTGGAGGTGGTGCTTGCGAGAAACGAATACCAATTTGAACTGTTGCTGATGAAGATACAGAAGAGCCTCTTCTATGTCCAATCTTACCGTGAAGAGGTGGAGGTGGTACCAGATCGGAAAGATCGCTAATATCGTATACTGATTCCAATGCAGATCTGTTCATGTGTGGAGGTTCTAATGTGTCAAGGCTATCGCGAGCCGGTGCTGGGAAAAGAGAGTATGATTGTTTTCTCGTATACTCTGAAGGCAAATGCTCAGTAGGAGTCGGAGGAATTGGTACCGATGACATTTGGGTAACGAAATTCGAGCGTAGAGGATTTGGCTTCGTCGGTGAATAAGTGGATGATTGCGGAACAAATAAGTCGGTCATACTAATGAACTTGCTTTTGTCCGAGGAAGTGATCAAACTTTTCTGGCTTTCTGCTCGACTTACTAACCCTGATCTAGGAGATACTGGCGCTGGAACAGGGTCCATTATCTGGTCGCTGAATGCCAACTCATTTGGTCCCCACATCCTAATCTCATGCTTATTACTAGGCCAGGACCTGCCTCTTGGCCCAAATGATGTTGTTGCAGTGTTCGACCGTAAGAATAAGTGAAGTAAACCGTTCATCAGACCGGACAAATTGAGGACCACAGTTGCCATCATGGCTAGCTTGAAGTTACCATGTCCGATTGCTTGGGAAATGAAGTATGGAATTACGAAACCCTGCTAATCTTTAGCTATATTAAACACCAATTGATCAAATAGACTTACCAATGATACGAGACCTACAACGAGATAATACACCATACGAGATGCTGCAATTCTTTGATTGCGCTCTACCAAAGTTGTCTTGGATAGTCTGACAAATATAGTGAGAGCACTGATAATTAGGAGACCGGCGACAGCAGAATATACAATGAGCCCAAAAGTTCCATATCTTGACACGAACCATACCAATGAAGCAAAGCATCTATTCTTTTGTGGAAAGAGATTTGTTGGGATCCAAGTGGCAACCAACATCAACACAATTGTTCCTAAGCATATGGACACATCGTATTTTCCTCTTGGTTGGAAAGGGGTTTTCTTCAAAGATCTTATAGCACATTCGAGTCCGAACACAAGTTGAATATATGGAACAATGAAAAGAGCTGAACATCATTAGTATCAAGAAGGCTTTCAGTCCTAGATTAAACATACCGATCCACATAAATTGAGCGATTGTACCGCATCCAAATGTAAATAATGAGTGAAGGCCTTCTCCTTGAACTGCAGCAAAGATAAGTCCTTGAATTACAATACCAATAGATAGTACCAAAGGGAAAGTTTCCGCTGGATGAATCATGGAGACGCAGAATTTTCTAGCACGCGTTAGTTACCCTGCCACAAGAATGGGAATTATCCATAACATACGAAGCTTTAAACTTGGGGTTGCATCGTTTCGATGCCCAGTAGCAGTCGTAAAGAATACTGGCTGCTGTGGCAAAAGAAGCTAGTACATTAAAGGCTGCTAGAATAATAGTCGATGTCCGGACCGATTTGCTTTCTGCAAACACCAAGTTTTCTATAATCCCCTCTGCGACTGTATTGTTCCCAGAACTCTGTACATCTTTCAGGAAGGTCGACGCGGGTTCCGAGCCATCGTAAAGTTCCGCCCGGGCCATCAGATACAAAGCTGAACTTGCACCCATTTTGTCGTTATTATGATCGAAGCTATCGATGGATATAGGCAGCGAGCCGTGGCGTTGCCTTATGTCGTCGTTAAGTCATGAGATTCGAATGATGAGAGTGCTGCAGCGATAGTTGGTTTTTTGGAAGAAGATTCAAGAGTTCTTTAGCGCGGATAATAGAGGAGACGGGGAAAAGTAATTAATGAGGTATTAAAAGAGCGGACTGTACCAATAATCCAGTTGGCACAGAATAAGAAAATAAAAGATAAGAAATTATCTGAACCAGCAGTGATGGATAGTGCACTGCACGTATCGTAGAGAATAATGACAGACTCGAAGGTAGGAAAAAGAACCCCAAGAGAATGTCACAAAGTCTCAAAAGACGGTTTACAAATATTATCGGAATGCATGATGTATAAGAAAGCACATCTGGCAAAGCGAATGTCTGGCCCACGGGCGGATTGACCAAGTCCATCCTGGCAGGGTAACCTTGTGCGTGGAGGAAGTGGTGGGGGAGTAGTGCTAAACTAATATGGGCCACGCCGCCGCCACTTGAAGTGGGTTTCAACTCATTTACTATGGAGAGTATGAAAAGGTGGTGGTACCCAAGGAGAGAATTATTTCGAAAAGTGTTTGAACTTCCTGATCAAGTGGAGGATGCAATTAATTGCTCACAACGTGAGCGATATTCAAGGAAGAGTCTGATTGAAGATGCTTATCACGATATTTCCCATTACTAAAATCAGTTTAATCGGCCAGACAGAATAAAGAAAGTAGTCTTTGACGACTGAAGTATGAGAAGCTTGACTAAGTACCATTGAGGTTTCGACGGTGTCGCAAATGTTCGCTTAGGACCCTGACTACAAGGTCAAAGCAGTGTGGGTCAAGCAGTTTATGCAACAGGATGGATTGACCAATCAAGAAAAGTAAAAGAAGCCAAGGGACCAGAGGATGAAAAGGACACTGGAAAATATCCATGATCCTCAACGTAGATGGTTCTGTAGAATATTCCATCGTATTTAGGCTATGAGAATTTTTAGTTCATGGACTCCAACTGGCTATAAATTGCCGATGGCATTGATTGAGTGGACCCCGAATCAGGACACTGGCCCTTATGCGCTCTGTTAAGAGAAGATTGAACTTTTCAGATTTAAGCATCAATCACCACAAACCCTAAGACTAATCAGCAAATATCTTTTTTCGACGGCACTTAATCAGCACTAATCGAGGTCAACAGCAAGCAAGATCGAAAACTGTTAAAGCAGTAAAGGTTGCCTATATGCAACTGAAGTTTTGCCATGAATCTACCAAAGGGACTTTGTGCAATATCACAACCAAGTTGACATCATCATAGGTACGTACACACTTATTTCAGATGTAGCAAGGGTACGACGGACCCTTGTCTTGGAAACAAACAAGACGATACAGATCGAAAGGTCAACTTTTGGTCTTAAGAAGAAAACGAAAGGTTCGTCCAGTAATCGCTAGAATGAGGCCTGACCTTGGAAGCAAAGATCAGGGGGTGGAACTTTCATGCGGCGTCCCCATGAAGCTCAAGAAGTATCAAGATGGCTAGGATGAAACCATTCACTATTAATAATTAACGTGCTCCGAAGAATTTCAGTAAAGACACGACGAACTCTGAGAATCAATAATACCACGAAGAGAACAATTTTGAACATGTATTGCGTGTCTGTGGACATGTGAAGAGTTTGAAGTCTTGAGGATCGAACGATTATTTGTTTGTGGTTGAGTGATAATTCAGTCCCGACAAAAAGGTGCAGACTAGTCCCAATCCAGTCTAGAACTATTGCTCTTATTTACACGTGACTTGGACTCCTCCATCCAACTATCCTCGCACCTAATTGAGAGAAGAACTCAATGGCGAAAATAATTATTTTGAGCTCGCAAACGGTTTCCAACTGTTTGTGAATTTCTCATACTGCTACAAGACTCGTTCCCTTCATCTCCACAGATCATGAAGACAGAAAAAGGAGCCCCAGTTCATTCAAGCTCACTGCAACATGGTGAACCAAGACCTTCACGGATACAAAAGGTGCCATTACCTTGGAACTCTACCGTCGCCTAACCATCTTCGATGATGTTACACTCTAGGATGATATCTAGAAATCTATTACAGGAGTTCAACGTCACGAATTTTTCATATCTCCAGGGCTGGCCTCCTTCTACTGCGCCACCATCAAAACCATGTTCCCCACGAGATGGACCCTTAATACACCCTTCACTTGGGGTATATCTGTTCTTGTTATAGACAACGATTGTATCCCACTATCAAAGAACGCCGAATAAGGGAAACTACCTTCCGAATCAACTTTTCTTGGGGACTTGGTTGGACAGACTAGACACCTTCGTGTTCTTAATTCAAGCGACACATATATTTGTTTTCTATCGTCGCCACTTTTCCAGAATCATGACTTTTTAGTACCGTGTATGGAACTATTTTTCTACTACTATGTAACATATGAAACCATGAATGGTCACTGCTGCATAAACTTAAGTTTATACTTATGTACTGTATTCCAAGCTCCTGCATACAGTTCATGCTACCCCGTTATTTTAATCTATTCACTTCGTTAGCAAATCTTTTCGAACGTTTGATCGACTTTCCAGTGAAAATGCAATATATTCTCTCTTTCCATGATTACATTCATGGCTCATCAAATACTAGACTATGATTTATTTCTCTGATATACAATCTAGAAGCCTGCTAGAGGCCCGCTCCTGTAGACTCTTACACAGGTTTCCGAAGTTGGATGAAAATCGGAATGGATTTTGAGTTTGTCGAACCTCGCCCATTCTTAGCCACCTAGGTATGTACTCGTCACCACAAAATTGCGTTTACAGTTCGCACATATTGCAGTCTCGGGGCCTCCTAGTCCTTTTGCGCATAATAAAAGGACTCTATTGCTTTTGGATTCTACACCTCCTGACCTTGCATATATACGCCAAACTAAATGGACAGATCTTGAAATATCAGTTTTATACAATTTGTATGTATCGAAAGCTTTATCAGCTAACGATATGGATCTTCAAATTAATAGTACCTCTTTCTCTAGGGCAGAGCTACTCATCTTCTGCCGACTTTTCAAGTCATTCACTGGCCTTTGTTCGCGCCATTATACGAGCCCTTTCCTCCTCAAAGATTCCACCTCCCACCTAATTTTCACTGCGACCCTATTCTCCCCAAAATCAAACTCATACAAACTCACATCCTCGCATGTCCCCTCTTTCTTCTCCATCGCCAAGCCCACCTTCAAAACCTCCAGAAAGCTGGGCAACACAGCCCTGATATCTCTTTCCAGTGTTGCCGAATAAAAATTGCCCCTCCCAACCCCACAAATGCATTTTCTTGCTTTGATTACGAACTCCTCGATCACCTTTTCATCCTCTTCATCACAATCACCAATCCACGAAGATTGAATGGCACCTGCCAAATTTCTTCTCTCTTTACGCGTCAGTGTAGCCCATGTTTTGGCGATTCCTATATGCATACAAGTGTGAACTTCATTTGGTCTTGATGGGACTTTTGTTACACCTGGTAGTCCTGTTTCGCTTATTTCTTTTTCAATCTCAGATTTTCCGAGAATACCGAAGATATCGATAAGGTGATCTCGCCTCTTCTTTCTCACTTGATCCAATAGTCGTGGCGTCCATTCTATCTCCCCGTCTGCAATTTGCTTCAACGAGACTTCCTCTGGTAGAAACGAAATACCGCAATCTGGAGCTCCACAGTGGAGTACCGACGCACCAAATGGATTCTCCAATGGCACTACAACATTTTCGTGGCTAGTATACGCATCTTTATTCTTAAACCCTGGCTTGGATTCAATGAATATACTCAGTAGTATCTCGATGACAGTATTTTCAGGAACTTCAGCTTTTGTATCCAGCAAAACAACAGCTAACGGTTCCTTGGAGCGCAATTGTGCGAAATATGTCTTTGCAGATGTGTGCGCAAATTGGTAAAACACTAGCCAGAAAGCGAGAATTGTATTCGAGACATCATCTTTCTTGATTCTTCCTCTGTCCAACCTTTGAGAAAATCTTCCGCAGGCATGAATTCCATCAGTGTGTTCCAGAATGTTGGTACTGATCTTAATATCGATGCATTGCCTCCCAAATCTTTTGGAATTAGATCGTCATTAAATTCCACGTAAAGAATTTCCAACAGAGGTTTCGTCCAGTTGCGGGATTTACCCATGTTTTTATAGAGCCGTGCAAGGAAGGTTGAGACGAATGAATGCAGGGATTTGATATTCTTCATATCCGTGATGGTTTCATCGGAAAACACATTCAGTGTTTTTCCGAAACGTAAGAGTTGCATGAAACCTGCGACAGGATAATTAATACACCAAGACGTCAACCCTTCTTTTTGGAAATCTTGTGCCGCCCAGGCAAGAGCGAGAGGGTAGCTAGTCCATTGGCCTAGTTCATTGGATGTTTCCCTTACTCGGAGATGTGAAATTATATTGTTCAGAAGCCAAGTTATTGCATTTCTCCTCTGCAGAATTTCTGCATCTATGCTTCCTTGCTCATTCTCAAAGCCGGCACCAGCCCACTCCTTGACCCTCAGAGTGCGATCCAAAATTGTCGCAAACAACTGTCCCATAGCTGGAACGCCAGTTTTCAGCCCCGCATTGAGTGCTTTGTACAGCTGTTGGTGGATGTACAATTTGTTACTCCCAGTGTACTCTAGAGTGGGAATGACAGCGGAGATCTCTTCTCCGTAGATAGAGTGATCAGGTCTTCCGAATAAAGCACATTGGAAACAAACACACTGACTGGACAGTATATTCATATTCGCCTCAAATCTCCCGGCTGCCAATGGGAAGTCAAGAGCAAAGTTATCGGTATTAGCTGCCATAGCATCTGCGCTCAGTACTTTGAGAGCAATTGATAGAACTTCATTGTCCCCACAGCAAACCTGGCATTCACCTCTAAAGCCTGGGGCTCCAAGATCTAGCACTGAAATATCCACTGCAGAGTCTACGGAAATATTTTCAGCTCGTCGTGCTCGGTTGGATCTTCTCGAGAGAATTTCTGCTGTAAATTCAGATTTTTCTGAACCAGATAGAGCACGTAATGCTGCATCGACTCTTCGATTACGATCTTGGATGGCCTTTATTTGTACATTATTTTGAGCTGCGGTATAAGCTTTACGGTTTGCCTCGTGGGCGTCTCTTAGCTTGGATTGCAGGAGAGTTCTAGTCTCGCTAGGCATTTCTTGATCAGCAAGGAGATGAATAAAGCCCGTGGCACCAGATACGTCTTCGAGTTTGATTGTCAATTGTTCGACTTTTTGGGTGAGAAGGAATGATCGAAGTTCATTCAGCTTTCCGCGAGACTTGCAGGCCAGAAGCAGAGCATCGAGTGCTTCATCTGCAAAGAGTAGATCACGATCTTCATCTGACATAACTCCTGCTCGAAGAAGCATGTCAATGTCTACCAATGTAGGCTGGGAGTTATTGTGAGCCGCGTTCCATTGTTCGCCTAAATTGAGCTGAGTTGGTGTTGCAATTCTTGTTTCCGCAGTTGGGACATGAATTTTTAGCTTGGCGATTCTTTGGATCAGCGCTGCTTCGCTACGAAAACTGGTTAGTTTCTTCCACGTATTATGATCTTATGCTTGATCTAATTCTGCAAAAGCGCCTTTGCTAGCTATTACATAAACTCGATTGCTTTCATAATCCTTGAATAGGCATAATGCATTCGCACAATTGGCATAAGATGTGATACCAACGGAAATATTGGCATGAATTAGTGCATCCCTTGTATGTGATGTGATCAAAAACACCGTCGCGCAATCAAACACTCCCAGTTCTTGTCCCAACCCCGCCAGTGTGTGCACCTCAGAATTGAGGACCTCTCCATCTGTAAGTAAGAACCAAATATCAGAATCGCGAATCGCTTGGATCGACTTTTGGTTCCTCAACATATGTTGTGGCTGCGTTCCGTCCTGATCGGGAGCCCAAAAACATTGCTCCCAACTCGTTGGGTCTCTGCAGTTGGAACCCCATCTCGTGACTCTATCTTCATCTTTTTTTATAGATACTTCGTGAATTCCATCTGCAAAATTATGTTCCGAGATGAATCGAAGGCCAACTGTAGATCCAGAAGCATCGAGAGCGAAATACTTTCTTGCATTGGCGAATGAGGTATATTTGATTTTGCCCTCATCGGCTGGCGCGAGAACCAATTTCCATGAAGCCATATTTGATGTATAGCTTTCTTTGCGAGAAGAAAACTGATTGCGAAGTAGTCGGATCATAGAAGATGAGCATCAACTAAATACATGTCAAATACATATTGATTTGAGTCACAAATAGAGAATTTAGGAGTCACTCCGGTGTGGTGACTCTTCCCCACGATTAGGCATTGGCGGCCCCCAATTTACTGTGCCACCCCCACCAATTAATTGACCCAATATCAATGAGCAGCGCAACTGTCCCCGATTATATTTTCTTCAAGAGCTGAGCAAGATCATCAATTGTTTTACATCAATTTCAGCCAACGATAAAAAGGATGACTAGTGCAATTGTGGGCATCTTAGTACCTGGATCTTTGCGATCAGGGGCATTGAGCTCAAGGGCATCGAATGCCAGCGCACAACTTTGAAACCATTTTATATTCACATTTATTATGGAATGATTTATGAGATAATTTATTACCATAACCAAACCTTACTATGTGTGAATTTATCTCCAGCATAAAGCTATGTACAGACGTACAGGTTCAATCCATGCGGAGAGAGCTGTCCGGCCTTCTTTACAATAGATCATTACCTTGACAAGTACATTTCCAGACCCAACATTCAAAGTAGATCTGCTGATTATAAACCCACAATAAAGACTCAGTATCTGAAGTAAAGCTAAGGCTGACATTTGGCATACAGATCCAAAGAGGCAAAAGCAATTCAGGCGGATTGAATGTCAATATGTTCCTTGTGGAATATTAATTTATCAATCGATGAAGTCATTGGATCAAAACCGATATTTCGCGAAGAACGAGATACGGAAGGTTTTGTTTTGCTGAAGTGAACATCGATACTATGCAGCAGCTAGGCATCGCGACTATTCTTTCCACATGGTGCCATTGTTTTAAGATACCGGGACATCATAATGACAGTTCGTAAAGCGCATCCCAACATTCCAAGGAAAGCAATTACATATGCATTAGCGTCTGGTCTAATGCTATTAGACCTTGATTTCAGTTAAGCCACGAGCTCAGGAAGTTTACCTGACTTCTGACGGTAAGTCATAGTGACCAACTCGGAAAATGGACCAGCAACCTTCGTCGCCATTCGCTCAACCTTACTTAGCTCATAGTCAAATTTGAGGCAACTCAAGGTTGGGGTGAGGCTTTTCTCATCACTACCTAGGTATGAACCCAGAGCTTCCTTTCTTGGGACTCACAAACTTGGATGATTCAACTTCATTGCTTGATACTTTTCAAAAGATACAGAAGATTTGACGAGCAAACCACCATCGCTGTAATTCCACAATATGGTCCAGAGGTAAGGTGGTAAATCGGCACAAGATCATTAGCCTTGTGCTTTGGATAAGATGACTTGGACATGCAGTTTGCCATTTACAGAATCTGCGAAAAAATATTTCGGTAAGAGAACACTAAGGGTCGCATCGAATGCGTAGATCTTGCGATGGTCTTGCGATGGTCATGGATATTCTCAGAAAGCAGATTCTCTGTACACACAAGCTATGCATGTTAAATACAGACTTGTCTCCCAGAACAACGGGCGTATTTCATTGACTGGTGCTATCAGGGAAGAAATGAACATGAATGAATGGAGGTGTTCACGCAAATTGTTCGGGCAAATATATGGTATGCTAAGCAAATTGGTGAGAGTACTTAATGATGAAGGTGTGCTTCTTCTCTCATAACCATGACCTGATTCTTGCATACCTGCTTAAGCTTTTTAAGTGATTAAATATGGTATGATGTTACCCTCATTAGATTAAAAAAATCACTGGGGCTCGAACAAATAAGACACGGCCAGAGGCATGGGATAGCAGTCATTCGAATATTACAGATTTCATAAAATCCAGCACCATCTGCCACTACTGTTTTCCTCGGACAACCTACAAGACCCCATTGTCCGCGCCAATTTACCCGCGGCGATTCTTTGCAAATTGCACTTGACTACTATTCAAAGGTTTGTCAATAACACTTTTGATCAGCTGGTATTCCATGTCAACTTACGATAGAAATTTGGTGGTGGATCTTTCAAAGATATTCAGACCTCGACTCAAGCTTGAGGATTCTGGCCAAGTGACTGATACAGCAGGAGAAGAATATATGGCAGCTCATAGATCTAATAGATGAAGTGTAAGTATCATGAAAGGCTTCGCATTTTTGATAAATCCGTATCCCAAGACAGTGTAGGCAATAGTATACTACAGTAAAACTGTGGCGTGTATTAACATATTGATATTGCAGCTAGTATGTTTAGAAAGGAGGTTATACCACTTTCGTATATATTTATATATTTAAAGAATATTAGCAATATACTGAAATACTGGGATTCAATATAAACTATCCATTCTATGCTAAATTAGGCTATAAATAAGGGATCTTAACTCGATTTGGAATAAGGAATGGAATTTTATTATCTAATATAGATAGGAATGCATATTTTATATTGAATTCCAGTACTTCAGTATATTGCTAATAATATCGAAAGTTTAAATAATATTGAATATCTTCAGTGGTATTGAATTCAATATCACGTACATATATATATTTCGAAAAAAATCGATACGCACCACTAAACTAGCCCGTATACGAAATACGGGAAATACTATTGTCTACACTGTCCCAAGATGAGCGTCACAGTCACAAGGACCATTATTTCCTACTGAAATGAGTCTTTTCAATCGAGAAAAGCATCTCCAGTCAAAGAGAGACTTTCGAGTCAATCCGACGACTTTTCCCAGTCATTTTCGGCTTTTTTGAGTCAAATTGTCGCTGTCTGAGTGCCTTTAGGAGTCATTTTCGAGGACACAAGAAGGAGATTTGCAGGGGTAATGTGTGTTTAAATACAATCGATGGACCCTTTTAGATATACCTTGCTACCATTAAATACGATTAAGCACTGCAAAACATCATACAAGACGACGAAATCATATATAACTTCCCAAAGACTTGCCTTTAAGACTCAACGCCTCACATAAAGTCTCCGTCGGAACAAATTTCCGTCATCAAAAGTCCTCTTCCTGGACTAATTTCAAGAGTGCCTCATTACCACGGCTCGATCGTCGTTCAAATATTTTTCATTCGGATATTCGAGGTAGCTCCCCCAGTTTCTTCCTACTCTTGCTTGCAATCTGTTTTTTCAGAGAACTAAGCTTTTCATCATAGTAGTGGGCACCTTCATTTCCTTTTACAGACTCCTACAAAAAAGATATCAACTTCAAGTATATACAGAACAATAATAATAGCAATGTCATCAGAAACAAGCGGCGGTAGCGGTAGACAAACAAATATTCCTCCTCCATCTCCTATACGGCCACTTACTTGCCTATGGTGTATCAGACAGTGGTCTAAATATTGTGTATGTGCTCGTCCATTTTGGAATCTGATTCAAGCATGCAATAACTGTAAGGTAGGTATCACCAGGCCTTTGAATGAAGGAAGCCCGGAAGTTGTGTGGAAACCTTTTGAGAATAGAACATGCCCTTCAGGCGTTTGTTTGGGTCCAACAAAGGACCAGCAGCAAACATAAGATTATGGTAGGGACTCTTCGTGTATTTTAAGAAACACTTGTCCCTATTTCCGTGGTTTGATGGAGCACACTTTTCATATTTCATTTGGTACTGCACTAGAAAAACACCTCTTATCGTTAAAGATCTCGAAAATCATACAAACAGCAAAAAGATACAGATATTGGACATAATTGCGTGAGTCGCTATGGTAGGAATTAATTAGATTGCAAGAATGGAAAGGAGATATGATACACTGGCCGTAAGACCGAGAATATAGATAGATAATATACACGTTGCTTTTACAAAGTCTTTTCTGAATACTTAATCATCAAGATTTACTTCACTTAACCTCAAAGATCAGCAAGTTAGCACTATGATCGATTGTGAGTTGGTACGAATTTAAATTGTAGACTACTGCAAGTCACGAATAACAGTTTCCTTGGCAATCCAGACCAATTGAAGCTTAGTCCGCACATCAGATAATGCTAGTACCAAACTTAAAATCAACTACTCTTTACTGAATTGGATTGTAGAACACTTGATAAGTATTCACGTCATTTGTAACTGCTTCTTGATTTCATTACAATTACCAGGTATCACATGCAGATTACAAACCTGAAAGTTCGAACATCTCGAGATATATTGGGTGCCCCTTCCGCGTATCTTTTGAAACCTAGGAACAGCAACTTTTCATTTCTGGTTCCTAATGACCACCTAACAGAAGATATAGACATCAAATTGGATGTTACGTAATGTACGTCATATATAATTCATGAAACTGGGTGGTGACTGTTGCGCCTAGTGTACTAGACTATCTAAGACAATGACAAAAGTTTTGTACTGAAGATTTCCCCATAGTTAGCTTAAATCCTGGAAATTTGTCAACTTTAGCATCTTTAGGACTACCAATGATGTTCTTGGCAATGAAAAGCATGTGGTTTTGCTCTGGTGTCATTTTTTTTATCTTATGCTACTTGCTACTTCTAGAATATTTGACGTCAAGATCCATTATCCTCAGCACATGCTATACTGGATATTTCTAGCCTGTCTATCTTGAATATTATAATGACAAATTGTGGATATATAACAGTCCAGTAAATCAGGATATGGTTCAAGTAGCTTCAACACTAGGGAGGCAGTTTTTGCTAGTTCTAGAAGACACGCATCGCTATCTCTTGGTATATATCTATATATATAAACTTCTCCCCCTCTCTTCACTGTACCTTTTCTCACTTCACTTATTTTGTTTCTTTTTCAACACTTACTCAAGATGGCTTCAAATTCAACCTCTTGGATGAACGGCTCGTCGTGGTCACCTAGTGCTACAAATACTAAAAATCCCTTCGATGACAGTAATGGAGATCCATTTGATGATAGGTACGCAACACCTCTACAAGACATTGAAACCGGTACTACTGCACGCCTGTCTAGCGAAACGCAACAACGAGATGCAGTTGATCAATCCGGTGTTCTCTCAGAAGAGAAACGTATAATCGAGGATATCCGAAATGAGCGGTTAGTATTTTGACAACTACTTGTATTTTAACAACCCCTACATGTTCATACTAATGTCTGTTCTAGTCTAGCGTGCGAAGTTTGTTTAGAACCCGTACGATTTGCAAAGGATCGTTACTTGTGGAATTGCAAGTCTTACCATGCTGTTACTCACCATCGATGTACGGCATTATGGGCCAAGGCAAACCTCGTTGGAAGGGCCCTTGCTTGGAAATGTCCCAAATGTGAAAATATTGAGCGCTCGAGTCCCAAGGAAGAATGCTGGTGTGGAAAAGGTAGCCCATTAAATGACCACCCTACCATCCCAAACGCGTGCTTTGATGGTATTTGCGGTAGTAAATCAAAATGTGCTCATGGAAACAAATCATCTTGCCGAAAGCCATGTCACCCAGGGCCATGCAAGTATGAATGTGGAAGATGCGCTAATGATCCTTTACCCAACCCGGCAAATATGAATACTATTTGGGGTAGATTCAAAAGCAAGAGGTTAAACTTTCGCACTATCCTTTTCAAGTCCGTGCTCATTGTAGCTCTATTTGGGGGTATTTGTACCTATATCAGCTTTCACATCAAGTGGCATACACAACCATACTTATATCCTCGTTTTAAAGGCGGTCTTTCTATTGCAGAAGGACTTTGTTTGCTTGTGGTTGGAATATTCTACCTCCCTTTCGGAGCATTCTATTGTATCAACTGCTTAAAAGGGGGGTCGAAATTCTACCTGGAGATACTCAACGGCAATCCGTGGCAGACTGGATACAAATTTAGATTTTCACGAGCGGTAATAGGAGGGTTCTTACTAACGTGCTTTCTCGTGGGACTTTATGCCATCCCAATTATAGGGTACGTATATTAGCCCTTTTCGTATTAGTTATTATTGGATTTCGACTGATATTTGCTGCATTTAGAATTGTCGGTGGTCCAGACATACAATGGTATAATCAGATGAAGGACTCTTGCCATGGATTTGACACCCGAGTCGAGATAGGCACTCATTTTGCAGCGTCAACATACACTCTCTACAGTCTCAATGAATCTGTCAATAATCAAACCTTCTACCTCGCTCCCGTGCTTGCACCAAAATTTGGCAGCAAAGAGCCTTATCAATACTTCCATCGTTTCTCTGGTAGCACAACTAACACTGCAAATTTTGCCATCGATGTCGATATAGATAATGGTGTCTGGCGCGAATTACATTTCAATGGAACCGATGAGCTCACGAAATGGTGGGCTAGCGGCCGAAAACAATACCCTTCGGTTCACCCTATCTTTGATAATATCACTACAATTGAAAGCGCAACCAAGCTCAATGGTACTTTCGTAATACGCGACGGTCACCTCTGGATGCCCGATTTTGATTTGATAATTCAAGGATTGGAAGATTCGCGCAAGCATGCCGAAATCGAACCTTTCATTCGTGTGTTCGACACCGAGGGTCTTCCTCACTCACGGACTGAAAAGCTGTTGAGCCCCAAATGGAACTGGAACAACAGGCATGACCCGAGTATTGTAATGCGTACAGCAAGTTTTGGACATGGCAGGCAGAGATTGGATATGTGTATGAAAGAAAATTTCTATTACAGTTCCAACAGGGAACAACAAAAGCTTGATGGCGTAAGTGATGGGTCTATTATGCCCTTGGCTGTTATTGCCGCGTTCAGGATGAGAGTGAACGAGATGTACGCATTGAACTCTGGGAGACCTTTCAATGTCAAAAAATATTCGGAATATGATGACGTTAAGGCTATAGCATAGGCAGCATAGGTTATCAGTTCCATCCATAGTGCTATTATAATTACCACTTCACGAAAACATCAATTCCACCACCTCTCATAATTGAGCCTGCTTCTTCGCTAAAGAAAAAGTCTACCTGTTACTTAATTGACTTGAGAAACTGAGTATAATGGTGGGCCCATTTTCATAATATTTCGTGCTTTGATTTATCAATCACCTAAAACCGTCTCTAGTCACTATCTAGACTTGAAGACTCGTTCGTGGAGCGATCTTTTTTGGTGCCATTCGATGGTTTGATAATATTGAAAAGGATCAAAGGGAATTATCAGGGGGCAAGATCTTGTAATCGCCTCGTTTATTTCCACTGAAGAAAATCCAGGTTTATGATGTATTCAAGCGTCGCATGTAATTAATTATATTGAAAATTTGAAAATACGGGATGTTGCAATGTTCTAGTGAGGAGCCATTGTATAGTTTACCACTTCAATTTAGATGATAAGAAACAAAAATGAAATATTGTATTGAAACTTGTGTGTAAATTGATTAAATTGCCATCAAAAAATGATATCTCAAGCTATTTTGTAATTCCAGAGGTCTTGGTTTGCAATATAGGCTCAAGTAATTAACAAGAAAGCGAGAAAGGGCGATAGTTCATTGTACACACTGCTTTTGAAAATTAAAGGTTATATCTCAATCAATACTTCCTCATGACTTGGCTCCTCAAAGATTCTTGTAAAGTACCCTGACGAGTCGCAGACAATGAAATTCTGATCTCGGTAGATAGTCCCCTTGCAACGTTTTTTGAAGTCCTTCGACAGCGCTTCATCAGTGAAATTCAGTTTTTAAGCACCGTGTTCTTTTCCTAATTCTGCTAATAAGCTTTTGAAATCGTACAGCAGCTCTCGATATGCACTTTCTTGCTCTTCAAAGTATGAATTTGTCGATAATTTATCCCTACGTAGGCGCTCGTGCAATGCAGCTTGAATACCTCGTTGAGACCATCTTGTTAACGGGTCAATCTTCCGAGGATTGAAGTCTAGTTCCTGAATCTTCTCATCGAACTTATTTATTTCATTACTGAGGTCTTCCATAGCAGGCTTATCACTCGCGAAAAGGTATTTCGTCAGACAAGTCTGTAAGTAACCAATGTTGTCTCCCTGCAAGTCTTCTTGTATGTGCGACAATTCGTCTAGCACCTCTGAAGGTGACTCAGATGTAAAAAATATCTCTTGCAAATATTTTACTATAAGAGAATAATTGCCATTTTTGCGAGAGACCTCTAGCCCTAGCTTAAGCAAATTCTCCGGCGTGCTTCGCGATTGCCTTTTCCAGTGCACGGGGCTCAAATCATGAGAGTCTAATGGAACGTAGATCGGCAGATTAGAAATGAATATGATAACCCCTTGAGATTGTTTTATGTATCTTTAATCTGGAATCTGACGCGGATTGGAAGGTAGTTCTCTCGCCAGTCTTTGGTTGGCCAAAGCCCATTTTAGATAGGGGCTCGTTTGAACATTCTCTGGATTGCTTAGACTAAGCGAGATTGTAAACTGGTTGGCATGAGCCATGGCTTGATTGATGATTTTCGTGATTGACGAATCAATTTGACTGCTATGCGATAATAATTGCAGAAAGATAGTTACCAAAACGTCAAGGAGGGCTAAATCTGTAGACTCGTCACCATGGGAACGTTGAGTCCAGTCAAACACAAAATGAAACCACCCGCTGAATTCCGATTCATCTGACTTAGGAGCTTTCTTGGAGCGGTCCTGTTTTCGATTCTTAAATAATAATTTAATGGCATCTCCGACTCCATATCTGGAACAAAGAGCCTGAAAAAGGTCTCGCATATCCCATATTCTGTTAGTCGAGAGAAGATGCTTGTACAAACTGTGCCAGTTTGACGAGCTATCTATGATACTTTCGGGGTTTCGAGGGATAATCTCTGGTAGCTTTGTGTATTTCATTAATTCAGAATCAAGCTGAACAATATTACAAAGCAATTGTACCTAGGAACTGATCAGACAAAATCTCAACACTCGGCAAAATCGACTGACCTGAATCGAATCAAGGCTCTCGAAATTCGTCAGTAAATCCAATTGAGCTTCATCAGCCCCCGCGTCTTTCATGTCACCGTCGGGCAAGTAACGAAAAGCACGCTGTCTTCCCAACTCAAACACGGAACGCAGATACTGAATAGGAATCTGTCCACAGTCACTCAACTGCTTCAGCAAAATTGACTCCTTACCCGCAGCAAAATCCATCAAAGTCTTGTAGGCACCCTGCTTCAGTAAAGCATCCACGAAGTCTAGAACAAATTCCGGGTGATCTCTCAAGTCCGATGGACAAGATTTGAAAAGATCTATGGCAGCATCAAATCTACCCTTCCTCATGAGACGAGAAAAATCTTCCAGATATGCCTCGAGATCGTATTCACAGTCAAAAGTAACCTCCATACTTTCTGTGGAACCGGGAGTCTCGGCTAAATTTGTAATCCCCCTTTCTGATATCGGTACTGCTAGAGATTTTCCGTCCCGGAATATAAACCCACTTTCAGTATCGTCCTCTTTGGTTGATGGGCAATCTCGCTGAGAGTCTCCAGCCAATTCATTTTGGGGCTGAGAACTTTCACTCTTAGGTTGTCGTTCAGTATATTCATCATTGCCAATGTACAAAACATCCGACATCTTAGAAAGCCTTTGTATTTACATGCACAACTTAAATATACTTTCAATTATTGTAACCAAAGAACAGATGTGTTTACTTGGGGCTAAGAGATGAAGGATGTCACTGGTGCAACACAAAGAATTGAGGTTAGCCGAGCGGGGTAAGACAATAAGAAAAAAACAGAAAATACATTTTTTTCGGATCGCTTTCTTTGTTTTTGAAAGAATTCTGCTTCTGAATTCCATAAAGAAATCCCCCAAGTATATCACATAGCTAGAGTCACCGTTTACCTGTGGTGTCCGAAATTCTCTCCTTCTTCCTCTCCCCTTCTCAAAGCCTCAGAGTATACTTTTCCCTATGGGTTTACCATTGAGTATCTCGTCACAACTTTCTTAAAGAAGATATTTAATAAGTATGTAAATGAATTGAGAATCAATGAAGTTGGATCCACCATGTCATATGAAATTTGATTTTCTTTTTTTCTCGCCTTTTTCGGTTAAGTATATCACAACAAATACCTAAGCATTATTCAATTTTTTCATCAGTGGTCACAAACAGAAGAATGAACATTTTCAATAGTCAGGGATCATTGTAAAAGCAACTTTCTTTATCCATATATGTTCTTAGTTGTGTGACAGGCACAATAGAACTCATGTATTCTACTTATTCTCATCACGGTGACCAGCACGCTTGACATCTACTGTATCGTGCGACCCGCGCAACAAAATCTTTGTTATCTAATTTTTCTTCGTCGAGGTGACCAGCAACCCTGACTTCCAATATCTCTATATCTTCCTCTTTTCAAGGGCCCTGGGTGTATCCAATTACGCTAGCGATAGCTACGCCCCTTTCCTTTTCTCGAGGAGCGGCTACCAGAAGCGGTACTATCACGAGGAGCGGGTATTCTCTCTTGATGTTGTGGCTCGGCAGTAATTATGTTAGGCTCGCTTGTGTTAACATCACTATAGGATCCATCAGCCTTCTCGTTTCCGTGGTCATATTGTTGACCACCAGCTGCAAATTTATTATATCCGCTTCCACCGGATGGATATGGATATTGATTAAATCCACTAGGTTGATAGTTATTCGTACCACTTGTATCATTGACGGCAGGTTGATCTCTTGTATAAGAAACATTTCCACTGCCACTGGGTTGATAAATTGATTGTCCATAATGGTCAGCTCCATAGCCGCTTGTACTACCATCATCATAGGTAGGATAATTCGAATATCCACTTCCACTAGCTTTGTTGGTAGGCTGATAATACCCGCTGTCTGGGATTTCTCCTCGCTTTCGACCTTCAGCAATCACCAATGCCCTGCAGTTTTCAGGTACCTCATATGGATTTTCTCTATAGTATTTGATCTTGGGATAAAGCATGGCTCCAGGAGGTAGGTTCTTTTGCATTTCAACAGTACGAGTGATCCAACAAACTTGGCAATTCTCTTGAGATTTAATGAAGTCTCTCGCCCAGAGCGTATTCTGTAGCACAAATAATTCGCTAAATATATCTGGCCAACGAAACCTCCAATCATAATGCCCATCAAAGGGAACCAAGTCACGTTGCAATTCCTCGATTGTCAGATCAGGGAAACCTCGATGGCAAACTTGATCGAAGATATTTGGAGGAATAGGAGGAGCGATGTAGTCCTTCAAGGAACGAACGGCCGCGTGCTTGGGTAATGACTGGAATGCTGATTCTAGTTGACTTCGTAGAGTCGCGGGTGTTGCAATGGCGGGTAGTGGTCGTGGGACCATAGCTTGTTGAAGAGGATCACGACCTAAATAAATATTGTTATATGTGGTTTCAGTAACTGATGGTATTGGCTCAGCATCGAACTCCGGGCTCATACTAATCATATCACCCATTCGAGGGGGTCCTGGCTCTCTCCTAAAAAAGACAGGATGGAAGTAAGCCCTTAGCGGTGGCACGCCCTTGGGGAAATGAATTGCAAGCTCACGCTTCATACCGGCAGCTAGCCTTACCTTATCTACTCAGATCTGGTATTGATCGCATGCGCTCTCGGGTGTCAAATTGGCTGGAAGTTCCCATCTTTGCATATATTCCCAAGGCACGTTATGTGCAGTCGTAAATTCCATAGCCTTCATGTCATTCGTTTCCGCACTCAAATCTGTGTTCTACTCCCATAGATCCTGCAGTGGTGCTGGCGTCGGCGATAACTCTGATGGACGTGGTGCACGTGAGGAAGTTGTTGGTACATGTGAGCCCCGTGAGCCCCTTGAATTCCGCGCAGGTGGTGATATCCGTGAGCTCCGTGATCTTTTTGACATAACTAAACTCGTGGATTCGATGATAAGATCTCTGTAGTGATGGTCCCGGATACGTGCAACCGAGAAAGATGGCAGATGAATTAAAGGATATGGATATGTGCTTTTAGATATCACAGTGAATGTCGATTAATAGGTAGGAGTTTTCCCAAGCAGCTTAATAAGCTAGGACGGTAAAAGGAATGAGCTTCAGGCGTAAGAAATCTAGCCGTATGCAGATTAAATATGATGTATCGCAATAGATTTTCGTTGATCTGGGATTTATTTAGATCTCTCGATGATGTCCAAACTCAAACCAAGAGGGACGTATCGAGTGTACTTGAGCACATTGTACCCATGTGGATTCTAGTTTGGCGTCATAAAATATGACTGAATGAGACCAAACTGAAGGACACTGTGACTGGAAGTCTTTTTTGTGACTCGAAATGGTGGGTATAACGGGTGTTCTGATTCGGATGATTTATTCAGATCGAGAATATCCATTAAATTGGCAATATGATTCATTTTGAGGAGATCAGTCCATCTTCAATGACTTAGAATATTTATTTCTACACGAAAACAATCATTGTGACTCAAAGAAATCGATCTAGCCATTTCCAAAAATGCGTTAAGAAGGAGATCAAGCATCCAGATTTGGATGAATATTCCTGACTTGGTAAAATCATACTCATTTTGACTCGAAATATTCAATCATCCATATTCAAAGATAAGTTTCTTTGAAAATAATCACTGCTCTGAAATAGGATGACCATTTCCACGCGTATGAAATGATTGAATAACTGAGTATGGTTATTATTACCTCAAGTCAACATATTCATGTTAATACCGACATCCCACAATCCGATTCGAAGGATTCATTGCGATAGACTCAATGATCTCATTAGTAACATCCATTTCCACACAAATTTGTTTTCCCTAGAGAAAAAGATCCATTGTGCTAATTCGTAATAACAATGCTAGCCGCTAGCAAAATCTTTATAATATTGAAGCATCAAACCCAACAAAGATTTGAATTTCCTGATCGCAAGTGTACCGTTGACCTATGATATCGCGTCCGATCCATCAGAAACAGATTTGTTATCCGAAAGGAACGCCAAACAAAACAACACACCTGTTGTAGGTGACACTTATCTGATGAATGGTAGATAAATAAGGTAAATTTCAAAGAAGTCCAGAGAAGGGGAACACTAGTCTATTGCGTGAAATTTTTAGTAAAGCAAATGATATCCATGTATTAGCTTAAGCGATTTAGATTGCTCTTATGTACATATTTTGAGGGGGAAAGTTTTACAAGAACGTCGAATTGTTACTGAGGCAAATACACATTGCGGTATATGTATTATTCCGACGATGTCAATCTTATCGACAATTTTAGTACAACAAGAATACGCTCTTGTATTTTTAGCCTTGTCAGGTATTCTGCTAAAAAACTTGAAATTTATTTTATGAAACTTCTATTCTCTCCTCCATTTGAACTGGGGATAGGGTAACTGATTAGAAGTTGAGAAGTGAAATCGGATCGAATAGATCAAAGGAAACTTCACAGAATGAACTTGTTGATCGATTCAAAATCTAGATATAGGATGAGATGGAATAGAAAAATATATATATCAAAACCAGGGACTAAAAGAATACTTGCGAGAAGAACAATCTTTGTGAATAACGGTAATCTCTCATCCCAGGAGAGGAAATTGACTATCAGTGATTGATACATAAAGTATGACTGAAAATTGTATAGAACAAGATAGGAGAAGATAAGAAGATAATTTGGTAACGGTATGAGTTTTTAGCCTGGCCTTCAATAGATGCATAAAATCCTGGTGATCGATTGAAGCAAGTACAGACTAGCTATAATAATAATCGATGCCTATACTTCTTTTGACTCGCCTACTCTTTTCAGTATCATAATTCTATCGTCTATTATCAAGCTCATCTTGATCGCTCCAAGATTCATACACAGAGGTTTCTGATTGATATGCATCTGTATCGTATTTGCTTCGGGTGATCCTGTGATTCGGATCGTCTTCGCCACGAATGCCATCTTCATCGCTTGTGTTCCCATATAATGACCCTCGGGCCCCTGTCCGCCCTATCGCATTAATATGGGCTCCATTAGCCTGCTGTGGTGAAGAGACGTGTTTTCCTAAAGGTCGTGCAATTTTCTTCCCTTGCGACCTTCTATCTCTTTCACTTGAGTATGTTCCTTCCTCTGATCCATCCATATCGCTCTCCGACTGCATCTCTCCTCTTGAAAGCCTGATCTTATCTGTATTGATGCTCTCAAACATGCTTCTTGGTCTGTTCTCCCAATATCTTTCGTCCTTAGCAACAGAGGATTTCTCATACCAAAGGTATGAAATATCATTATAACTCCGACCAATCCTCAAAGAAGAATCGTTTTGTTCATTCACTGCCATTGCTCTCATATTGCTTTCAAAAAGCTCGGGGTGATTCTCTGAAACTTTCTTATGCAAAAACACTTCTCTCCGTGTATATTTGTCCAGTTGTTCTTTGCTACCCTTGAGAGAGATGCACAACGCCCTTTGGATTCTGTTCTGACACCATTTCAACATGATAGCATCACCACGATCTTCAGAATATCCTATTTCTCCCTCATCAAAGTTGGTCAAGTCGTCGTACAGTTCTCTTTGCACAGTTTCATTTGCTGCCACAAGATACATTGTCAGACATGTTGCAAGATAGCCTTGCCGATATCCTTGAACATCTTTCTGTAGGCGCGCTCTCTCTCTCAATAGTTCCATCGGTGCCTGAGAACCAAGAATGATTTCTTCCAAGAACTTTCCTTCCAACGAAAAGTTGCCCAATTCCCGTGCCGTATTCAGCCCGAGTTCCAGCAGGTCATTGGATTGTCTAAGTGGCTCATCTATGACCCACCCCGGGTTTTCATTTGAAAAAGGAACGTAAATTGGAACATCGCGCTGCCAAATGACAATACCAGGAAACCCTCTGAAATGGTTAATTAAGCGGGGTTCGCTCCTTTTTAGGATTCTCGACAATTTTTCTTCTGCCAAGATCCATGTCAAGTAGGACTCGGACTTGGTGTCTTTGGGACTGTTACTACTGACAGAATTGGCGAATTGCCGAGCATATTCTATACATTGGCTAGCGTGCCTAACATATTCTTTGCGAGGGTACACGTAATTCAAGAATATCTGTAAACACATTGACGCCAAAACGTCAAGAAGAGCAATGTCTGTGAATTCATCGCGTGATTCAGTCCAAAGAGCGATGAAGTCGCTGATGGAGCTCTCGGAGGTTAGATTCATTTCAAACCAACCATGGATTGCGGACATGATGTCGCTTTCTGACATAGTATGGAACAGATCTCGCATATCTGAGACACGATTTTGGGAAGCGAGATAATTGTAGAGGGTCTTCCATTCGGTTGTGGGAACTCTCTTTGCTATATTGGATGCTTCATTTAACCGCAACTAATTGCAAAGAAGTTTCACCTTGGACATGTCAGTGGAATGCAAAATAAGGTAGTTGATGATTTTACCTGTATTGAATTGAGTCGAGGAAAATTTGACTTCAGCTCCTTAGCCATTTCAGACTCCAGAAGATTACATGCGTTATAATCGAATTCAGAGCCCGAGGTCCGTAGAATTTTCATTTTGAAGATTGCGCAATCTATGCATTGCTGGTATATCTTGGGGAAAGCTGATCCCAACCTTTCAAGCTTTTTGTAGTCAAGATCGCCTTGCATTAAAAAGATATATGCGTAGTTGACAGCAAAGTCCATATTATTTCTGCACTCATCTGGACACGATTCAATATACTGCAACGCGGCCTCAAAATCGCCTAGCTTTCTCAATCTAGAAAGCTCTTCCACATGAGCTTCAATATCCTCATCACATTCGAAGTCCAAGTGTATCGTTACATCTTGGGTCGAATCCATATTCCATACTGCTTCTACGCCTTTTGTCGTGACTACACTTTTTCGTGGAAAAAAGGTGAAATCTTCAGTACCCAATCGCTCATGTACCAGATCTGCTCTCCGTACATCAATCTCACTGTTTGGGGAATTGCCCCTATGGTGTCGGTCCAGTTCGTTGTTCCTAGGTAGGTGAAGGTTATCTGAATAAAGGGGAAATCTATCCATCCCAGCATAAGAATGACGGTCAGAATTTCGTCTTAAAGTTTGGTGACCACGGCGGCGGAGTATATGGGGCGGGGTAGGAGACCGGTGGTGACTTTCAGGATCAGACATTTTCGCTGGTGGATCAGCAGTATATTGCTCCACGATTTGTATTTTGGAGCTTGAGCCAGACTTTAGAATACCAAATTTTCGATAACTGAACATTCCATTTCTTGGACCATCAATAAGCACTCGAATATGCGGGCTATGCGTTGCCTAGCGAGTTATGTATGCAAGAACAGGGATGATATGCACGTGTTCGACTCTGTGTCAAAGAGATATTATCGTGGCTCCCTAGATCAAGTGCCGACACGATATGGAAGGTAGACTTGAGGAATGATTGGGTGAAGTCGAATGAGAGAAAAATTGTAGCATGGTGCAGGTCTGTGGTGTAATTTCAGGATACAACACATCCAACTCATTTGGATGGAAAGTAGGAATACGAACTTCAACGCAAGTAAGAGTCGCAAGTATGAGATAGTGTAATAGAAGTATTTAACTTGTTGTATGAGAACAACTCGAATATTGGCTCTGCAAAAGTCGCAATTGATTGCACATACAATGAGTTCACACGCTTCCCTGAACCGACCAAAAGTTTCACGATTATTTGGAAATATTCTGAAACCAATTAATAATCCTCCTGATGATCTGTCTTTGCATAATCGGAACGTCGGAAAAATCACAGTCGACTGTAAATTTCACCTCTCAAAATCGAAATGGGGTGTCTTAGGACATGCTGAGAACCCCGCTGGAATCATTTATATGAGCCTCGGGTTTCATCAACCCGGTGACTGCAGGTTGTCTCAGGCAACTGTCTCTGTTACTTTCAAGGAATACAAAGATGGAAACAGAAACGATGAAGCTTTCTCGAGTTCTTTGCACATCGACAATCGGTTTGGACCAAAGGAACTATTTGGCGAAGAGAGAAAAGTTTCTGTGAAAAAAAACGTTCATTTTACACCCAACTTCACGGTTTTCGGCAACGGAGGCGGCGGGATTGGTTTCGATAGAGTTAAAGGTTCTGTGCGCAGTAGTCGTTGGAACTTCAAAGGCCATCTGATACCTGCAGTCCACCCGAATCAGCAGGGCCACCAGACAGGCGTTTATAGAACATTGAAGTGGGATTTGATAGAGAGCGATTTTGAGACACAAGCCACGCATGGTGACGTTATTTATACTGCATTTGCATTTGAGCACGCGGGTGATGCGTTCTACATGGAGGTCAAAATTGAAGGAAAGCTGAAAAGTCCTAAAGATAGGATCAGAAGATGCTTAAAATTCTCCTCAAGGGCAAAAGGAAGCAAAGTAGCAACTTTATTGGTTGAACCTCCTCGGAAGATCGGCTTTGGTACCCAGCTCGATGCGCTGGCAGATGCTCTCCCCAGGGCAATGGAGATCGAAAATTTGTTAGCTGTACCAACAGAAGTGCCACATGCTGTGTCCGCATTCGCTCGACTGGGTGGGATCGCGGCAAACGCCTCAGGACCAAGCATAAATCGAGCAATTATTAACCCTGTTGAAAAATCACGAGCTACCATTGGTTCCCCCACATTAATTCGAGGGGTCTCGAACCCTTCCCTGGGAGATCCAACATATCCTTCCATCGAGAACCTTACAAAAGCTCTCTCAGTATTTGTAGACAGAAGACAGCAAAACGCTCAAAATTCTATAACGAAACCGGAAAAATCAACCTTGAAGCCAATTGAAGAAGTAGTCGAACTGGAGAGTGAGTTGAAAACAGACGTTAAATCTTCATGCTCCTCTTCGGATACCATACTGGTCAATCAGGAAGATCCAGAACCACATCATGAAAACCTGGCGATTATCAAAAAGAAGCAGATAGATAAAGACCTGCTTCTTCTCTCCCAATCGCCATATATCTTGTGGATCATGCAGATGTTACTCAGATTGGCGGGGCTATTCAGGGGGGTTAACGAAACTGTTGGAGAAGCTGCCATCTTTTGATGGTGTAAAGTAAAAGCTTAACGGCCAAGCAAATTGACAATCCGCGCTAGGCTAGAAGTCAGTTTTTTGCTTTTTAATGTCATTTCGTTGTAGAGCTTTGTTTAATGATACGAATCCATTTTGAAACTTTAAATTTTCGTCAACCTCTCCGTGATGTGGCTAAGCGCGTTGTCCTAATCTTAAGCGCTACTGAACATTACTCGCCATTATTAGCAGTCAATTGTCAATAAGCTATCGTGGACATTCAAATAGACAAATATATAATCATGAAACGTCTTCAGATACATTTCTAGGATGCGTAAGATTTTTGATAAAGATGTTGCATATTCAACGCTGTTCAGTTTTCTGAACATGAAATATAGCACCCTTTCTCCATCCACCCTTAATTAATTTATCCGGACCATCAATCCAAACGAGAATTTAACGCATTCAAAACCTCAAATATCAGTAAAGAAATCTTCAACACTCATCCCAACACACGAAATTCCTAACGACAAATCATTCTCAAGCCCTAAAGATGTGACCCACTCTACTCCTGTACGCTATAGATTCTAGCCTATCAATATTAGTATCTATCTATAGAACTTACCTCAAGAATATACACTAGTCTCTTGTAATCCGAAGCTATGATTTCAGAAGATCCATGGATATCCTCAATACCGAATTAATACAAATGATTCCATCCTTATCATCATCATCATTATATAGCATGACTTCTCGTCGTACCTAGATCGGTCCTAACCTATAGTAATTAGAGCCTATATCACAGAATCTACCTCGCTATAGAAGCTAGCCTCCAACTATGGATATAAGCTAGAATGTGTGACATAACATTTACCTCAAGCCCGATGTATTCAACTTTTGTTGACTATAATCTATATTAGGGCATAAGAGCAATTTGCCATTTTCTCAATTGCCGAGAATCAATACCGCAATTATCCCTTAAATAGCGAATATAGGCGTAACTACCCAGTCTATTTAATGTATATATGTGACTATTCAGTAGCATAACTTGGCACGACAAATTTTAGGACAAGAGTGAAAAAGAAAGAAAAAGACTCTTTTTATATTCATATTCATGTTCATTTCTGGAATTTGCGTTTCTTCCCGCATTTCTCTGGTGTCTCATGTTCATGTCATCCCATCTCGAATCATCGTTTCATCTCTTTCCTAATGCCCCCCAAATTTCCACCTCTCGCCCTTTCCACTTTCTCTTACCCTATTATCCTTCTCTATTCTCCTCCCTAGTCCTGCGACAGAGGATTAATCCCTTTCAACTCCCCTTTTCCCCCTCCGATCTTCTCCCCAGAAGGTGTAGCCACCCCACTTCCTCCCAAAGCTGGCGTTCCGATTCCTGAAAAGGGACTTTGAACACCCGAAGGAGCAGTAGATGGTGGAACAGGAATTCTAATATCTTCTGGGGAGCTCGGAATGATTTCTGGTGCGAGTCCATCGATGTGGATCCGTTTTGCTTCATTTTGGTAGGAGGCGGGAATGATCTATTTGCAAAAATTAGTATGTGCGTGGACTTGACGTAGGTATTGTTGCAAACTATGAGAAGAGAGTAGATGGGATGGAGGTAAGAAGAGCAAGGAAATGGCGGAGATGGGAGGAATATAGGCAGATTGATGGATACATACCTCAATAATTTCATTTCTAGGGAACTTGAGTGTAGGAATATTCATAGCATCACAAGCCATTAGATAACCATAAAGAACCCTCAAAACGGATTCATGAGCAATAATAAGCAGATCATTCTGTTCTCTCTCGAGCTCGAGAATAATTGGTTCCATGCGGACTGCAAGGTCATGGTATGACTATCGCTCTCGTTAGCTTCTCTTCTTATCAAAGGGTGCGAAAGATCAGATATATTTGGAGATGAAATGTTCGAGTCATAGAGAAAGGAACATGTGGTAAGGGAAGAATAACATACCTCAGCACGCGGGTATCTATGATGGTAAGGGTCCAATTCATGCATTCTGACTTCATCGGGATACAGTCTCTTCATCGCCTTTTCACTCAACTTCTCGCAAATTCCCGGATTCAACTGACTCATTTGACTTCTCTGTCTAACTCTAAATCCCTTTCCTTTAAGATACTCCGCGGTCTCTACCGTTCTCTTTCTAGTCGAAGACCAAACTGTCAGTGGTTTAAGAGGTGCATCAGAACCACCTGCTGCAATAGACGCTGCTCTCTCTTCTTCACGATGTTTGAGTAATGCATCAGACATTTTCTTAGCGTATTCTCGACCTTCATCAGAGAGTGATGCATCGGCTTTGTAGGAATCATCTAGACTAGATGTGCCTGCACGAGCGAAAAAAGTTTGACGGGATTTGATATGGAGATTCATGAGGTAGAAGACGATCCGATGGGAAAGATAGCCAAAGCTGACGTTATTATAATCAATGCGCTCACCAGCGTTGATCATCTTGACATAGTTAAGGTCAGGTTCAGTCATAGTTTCGAAATGAGGAATCTTCATGTCAATCCTCTTGAGATAAAGTTTGGCAGCGTCCTCAGGATCCATGCCAACAAACTGCGATTGTGGTATCTTAGCATCATCCTGGTACTTCCAACACTCTGAAGGGAGCTTTACATCTGGAGATGATATTTTGACACTTCGAGCATTCTCCTGAAGTATCTTTTCATCCGTAACATATGATTCAAGGAACAACGTCTGAAATGAGAATTAGCCTCTGTCAATCGAGGATGAGATTGTTGTTATAAGCCATACCTGAACATCATGCTTAGCAAACTCTTTTGCGAGAGATCTGCGACCACCGGAAAGTGGGTTGACAGCATCATAGATAGCAACTTGACCATTTTCGTGATTGAGCCAGGCATAAATATCTTCACGACATTTCTTGAGAATCTTTTGTCTAAGCATAACTGAAGCAGCAGATGCATTGATAAAGAAATAATCATCAGGGACATCCTGACCTGGGCCCATTGTAGCACGACGATAATCCCCTAGATGGAAGATTCTTGTCTTGACACCCAACCTAGGAAGAATTAGCAGAGAAGCGATATTTAGGATTAGATAAAAACTTACCATTGTAAATAACGCGAAAGTGAGACAGAGATATGTCTACGGAAGAATGATCAATCAGTGAAACTGCATCTAAAATCTCATCTGGAGGAATAACTCACGTTTTTCCACGCGCAGGAAGACCAACTAGGACGATAGCGATTCTTCCAGAATGGAAAAGTCTACCTGACTCAGTTGAATACAATTGAGCTGGCGCCATAGTGGCCTTCTCATCTGGCAAATCATGAACTCCATCGATGAAAGTTGAAGATCTCCGACGAAAGCGAGGAGAATTGGCCGCGATTTCCGCAGTTCTAAGCTCATGGTCAGTCTCAGTGAACAAGGTATCGGCGAGCTCTAGTCTCGCCATGATAGTGCTAATAGAGCGTTGAGAGAAAATATCGGTGGTGGCTGTGATTGAGAAGAGGAGGCCGTTGTGACTTCCAACTTCCGTGGAAGGCAAGTCCAGAGTTGAAAGAGTGAACTAGGAAAGAAGAATGGCGCAACAAAATCATCTCAAGACTACCTGAATCTTAAACGAGGGGGTAAAAATGAATAACCAGAAAAATTATGACCACTCACAACAAAGTATCCATCTTTCTAGATTTTCCACAAAAGTAGTTCTCGAAAAAGAAACTCTGCAATCTAAATCCGTTGTGATTGATCTTTAACCAAAAATCTCAAATATTCAGGAATTGGACAGATGAAGTGAATATACAGTAGCACTTGAGTCTTGCTTCCTTTGCTCCTGGCCAGTCTTTTCTTTCCTTTGGTAATCTCGTGACTTCAAGACCAAATCCCGTATATTGTGTAATTTCGAGAATGTCTTTCCGAGCACAAAGCACCTTTTAAATCCTCGTGTTCCCGGAAGAAAAAGAGACGAGCAAGTGCAATGAGCCGTACACGCGTTAGTGGATTCGCTCTGGTTAAAAGTATCAAGGCAAAGCTTTGTTCAATATTTGTCTCACGCAGCCTCTAGTTACTCCACCAGTTGCTCTCGTGGATATATACCCGGACTTCCTTTCAAAACTTCTCGGCGCTTGGTAGTTTCAGATATCCGTCGGTAATCTTGTGCAATGAACTCTTTTCAACCGCCCGCCGTATGCTTTGATGGGAAGCACGAAATCTATCAATACCAAATGTCTGTGGTCGTATGAGTTTTCGAAGGTTGGAGGACGAAAATGCGGTTCGTGATTGTCCTTGCTTTAGCTTCAGCTAAGATTATCAAGATAAGTGGTAGATCAAAGATTAGTCAATCGATGCATTCACTTGACCAATCATAAAAGAAAGGTTTTCGAGAAAATTCACTTCGGGATTGAAGCGGGATGAATTTATTCGTGCCTGGATTCAGAATTGATGCCTCATCAACAACAACTTATTATTCATATTTTAGCTGCAATTCACTTCAATTAGGTATGTTAATTATATTGTGAGAACTTTGTTTTCATGGACATTCATTCATATCCTGTCTTTTATACACAGCTAGGTATCTACAGTGACAAATACTATCATGCCTCCCTCCCATCGTCGTCGCTGCAAAATCGAATCACTATAATACAGAAGTACTCATCCTCATATAACATCTCCGTCATGATATCTCATGCATCATCCATGATCAAGTTTCGCATCAAACTATCCGCTATCTTCAATAAAAGCACTCGCAATGCTTTCCATTCCAAACCAAATTTCAGATATGCTGCTCCAACAACGCAGGGTCCCGAGAACATGAGGTATAAAGAAAGTCTATGATATGATAGAAGAAAATGAAAAGGTTGGATCATCATCTTTTGGTTCGGACATGCATGCAGAAGTGTACTCCTTCTTCCAGCGGTAGAACAAAACGAGGTTCAAGGTTGTAGTAAAACATCTCGAAAGGAAATGAAGAAGCATTTCATGAAGGTCTGGCATAGCAGAAATGAGTCCGTTAAGTAGATAAGGTAGGTGGCTAGTCGGTATACATGTTCTTGTTCGTAAAGGGTTTTATGTTATGGCATTAGAATTCGATTAATTTTGGGAGTGGAGGATGTGCTTTGGGAAGCATTGTGTCGAAACCCATATGTTTAAAATGGGATTTGAGGTGGGGCACCTCCGACTGCCATTGCTTGTTCTTCGACCGCTTCATCACCAGATTCGATGGAAACTGCTACTCCAATCTTTGCTGCTTGCTATAAAATTTATTAGTCAAGATTTAACAAGTCTCAAATAGGGACAAAATACCTTGAAATGATCCATCTCAGCTGCAAAAGTAAGCTGCACAGGTGGTGCAACTCTCTTCTCTAATAAGCAACTCAACTTTCCAGTTGAATCAACTTGAGCTCTGAAAGTAGACATTCTGAAGTCATACTTAGCACCAACAGTTGTGACACCCTCTTTTCTAATTGGTCCTCCCATCATTCCAGCTCCAGACAACCCCGCGAATTGCAAGTTGAGATCCACACCAGCCTCGACCTTATCTGTCAATCTTCTCCAAAAAGATGTGTTTACAGCTCCTTGCGCTTGTAATTGAGCACTAGCAATCCAATCGCTACCCTTGTATTTAGCACAATACGATACCGCAGTTTCGGGTCCTTGGTTCATTGCTGCTCGTTGCCAGACAGCCTCCAAACCCAAAGCAAGGTTTGGTGTAACGGCTTGTAAATATTGACCAATGAAAATACCGGTGAATCCTCCGTCAAGTATCGAAGGGTTGAGAGATTTGATTGAAGCTGTGAAATCTTGTCCGGTATACTCGTTGTCTAATTGCATCATAGCTTGACCAGGGGCGACTTGAAGTTGTGTCTTGGTAACGAAAGCTGGAGTCCATCTGTAATTGAATCTAGTGGTAAGTTGCCCTTCATTGTCCATGTTTCCTTGCATAAAGATCTGTCAATCGCATTGTCAACTTCTTTTCCATAATTTATAGTGGGAGCCTCGTATAGATTGATGAGAAAATCTCCATCATTCCATTACTGACCTTGCTTGTGCCGAACAACGCTCCAAATGTGTATGGGGGTAAGCCTTGAGATCCCATAGAAAATGCGTGGGAGACTTGGAATAAAGGTGCCATGCTGAAAGGCTTGGTGAGATCTGCTCTCAGACCAGAAAATGTGTAGTTGTTGAGAAATACATCGCGTTGAACCTCTCTAGCAATGTTCTCAACTGTTCCAGGGTTTGAGAGACCCAGCGCTTCCCTCTTCTCTTGGAAAGTATTGTATGCATTTGACAAAGCCCCGGCGGCAGCATTATTGTAAAGGAAGCCCAAAGGCGATTCCTTCTCCAGCGCAAAAGACGACATTTTTTTCTATAATATGATAACACTGAGAGGATGAAGTAGTATCAGTATATGCGAATGAAAGAATATCGGATCAGAGGGATTGGTGGTGGGTGATTGCGAGCCTTCAAAACTGATGGACAAAAATACTTTCGAGGTTGATGCGACTGAACTTTTTCTTGAAAGAGCTCTAATCATTACGAGGCAGAAATTCAGGCATTAACAATGACGAGTGTGCGAGAGCTTACATAATTATCATGTGGTACCCCTCCATCGTCTCGGATCACGTTCTAGCATTCTATTCAAGAAGTCATTTTGCTCCTATCACCCTATTGTGGAGATGAAAGTATTAAATTTACGAATTAGACTATCCTTACGGGAGTTTAAAATATATATATACCTGAGAATACGTATATAGATTGTTGAATAGACAATCACATTGGTCAATCGTTTAATCGAGGGGTGATGAATCTTAGGTCTATTCAATCGAACAGAGATCTCTCTATATATCTCTATAGAACTTTACACTCATGATCAAAGGAAGGATAAGAACAATTAGCTAATGAACGAGTCAGTTTCATTACTTTTCTCGGTTCTAATATCAACTTTCCAAATATTTCTTCTCATGATTAAGACGCAGCTTCTTCGCTTACTTCCTAGATCGTTCTTTCGAACCCCTTCGTAGGCCGGATTCAGGCTAGTATAGACTGTGCCTCATCTTCAACATACTCTATACCTCTTCTCGTGGAGAAGCTCTTGTCTCAGGTCATCCTCTGTTTCGTGCAATACCATATATAAGCATATATAAGCTACAGCATCTTTTCCTAACGCAGTACGAGTCCCTTCCCTGATCCGCTTTCCTACACTCATCGTCAAATCCCCCAAATAATTGAGTTATTCTCCATTCACCTAATCGAGTCACTTATACGTTCTACTCTCCCAATCATCCTAATACAGGGTCTCGAGAATCAAGGTCTCATCTGCACACTACCGCGATTCTTCCTAGACAAATTGCACATTCGAACTCCTAGACGACTAGCATCTTTCCCAGCCTCTCTTTCATTGAGCTATCACATTTACTCAATGATCATGCAATATTCTTCCATATATCTCCACCAATTTACAAAAGTGCCATCTTGCGAAGAACCACCTTTACCAACCATCTCAAATCCAAGCACTATTCTATTATGTCGCTCCTGCTCATGTATACCAACCACAGACATACAACCAACGCTTCAAATTGAATCCACGATACCCCTCCACCATCGCCATCCAAATTACCAAACACCCAAATCCCCCAACTTTGCACTCTTCCTCCATCTAATACCCAGAAGATATCGCCACCAAACACCCATCAATCCCAAAACCGTCTCCGCTATAATCCAAACCCATATTCATACCTAAATCTCAAATCAACTTGCAACAAATCTCACAGAACAACTACACATCCCATCTCACACAATAGATTTCTACCACCCCTCTCCCCTCTCCCCGCTCACAAAATATCAAAACAGTCCCTAAACCTCAGACTCCATACCACCGCATAAAGATTTTCATATTGTCCGGATTCACAATCTCAAATTCGCTACCTAATTACCTACACATGACATCATCTACCTAGCACTCGAATCCCTTAGCTACACTAGTCTATTGATTGATCTAATTTGATATAGACTAGACTCCAAACCTAGATTCAATATTAACATTAACATTCCTTCTCCCTTCTCCCTTCTCCCTCTCCGTCTCCCTCTCCTTCCGCAGCTATCTCACTTGCAACCCCCCCCCCCAAAATAACCCAGTAGAGCATAACAACCAAGCATCAACCTCTACAGAATTCAACAATAGTAAACCACACATACCTATCCTATACCCTCCCACTCTCTCACTCTCTCACCATGCATGTTCATCCCGATCTCCCTTTCACATTATACGATAGAAGAAAAAAGGACATAGAAGTGTATGGATATATAGGGACAGTCTCTATGGAGAGTATCCATATAATATTGCTATTACCATGGAAACTACTATGCCATCTCAGTTCACAACACCACATATATCATACCAAACCACAACCCAGCGTGTCTCATTTTCAAAATCCAAAAGATTCAGATCACAATGAAGAACGCGGAATTCCGCTCAGGTGTTCTTGATATATCAGCTAGGTATGAAATCTACAGCTAATTCAGATCCAGACTGAAAATTTTTCCACAATTTGATTATCCTGATGGATCATCTTGTTCTTTTACTCCTTATACATTCGTACTATGCATCCAGTTCATCTGTGTATCCAACTTTGGAAGTATTTCCAGCGCTCTTTGAAGAAACTCCGGTTTCTTCCCCGAGCTTCCCTAAATGAAAACATAAGGCATGGTGACTACCAAACTCCCAGCTTCCCAGCCCACTCGGGACGTAAACCCCTCTACTCTGCCCCCTTATCCGACCACACAGCGTTCATACCCTATCTTGACCCACCAACACCCGAATCCTGTCCCAAAATTCCCGCTCTTTCCCACATTCCCTTCCGATGCAGCCACCGTGAACTGCTCCCACCTCCAACCTCCCATTACCCTCCCAGAAAGCCGTGTAACGTGACCTATCCCATTTCCCATTCCCACCACGATCCCATCTTGATACGTGCTACATTACCGTCCCATCTAGTCTCATCTACATACATATTGTCCATCCGTACATCGCTACCCACCGCTCACATGCCAGATGGCAGACACCGATCGAGTTTCCACCACCGCACCGCACTGTACCGAGTACCTGAATCCTAGTTCTAGTATCCTATGCGTCGCACCAAGAATCGGGAACAACACCCGAAGCCAAGATCTTTAACCGATCGAAAATTCGCAACACAGCACTCTCTCTATGTAAATATAAATATAGCCAAGAGACAACAGAGAACACAACGCCACAGCAAGTTCTTTTCCCGAATTTAGTCCCACGATGAAAACCCGATCCCAGATAAAGCAAGCAAGCAAGATGAAGCAAGACGTGAGAGAAAAGTAGACTGGTTACGCAAAGAAAGGGAAGAAGGTACCGAAGTCGCATGGCTGTCTAATCATGTGATAAGATATGATATATAACATGCCGTAAACGGCTTTTTGTCAAGGAGTCCTTGCGCGGGATCCTCGGGAACGGAGGATCGAGTCGAGGAGCTGAAGTTGCTTTCCGACTTGACCCTGTCCAGATTTCAGACACGAGAAAGAGCGTTGCACGATAACGATAAGCGTGCGAACAAACGGTGGAGTATTAACTATGTATAGTGGAGCTCTTCCCTGCTCCCGCAAGCCAAACAAACAAGCGCAAGAAAACAAGCAAGCCAGCAAGCCCGCCCTGATAAACTCGAGACAAGGGGTTTCGAACGGCGCACATGAATCTGTTTTCCATCTCTCTGTAGCCATAGCTAGCTGGGCCCGGCCATTTCACAAATTCCCAACGCGAATTTATTTGGAACCGAGATTCATTACAGAAGAGGCACCAGGTACCAGTGCATTGAGCAGATACCAAGACACGAACTCGTGCGAAGAGAATAATAGCAATAATCTAATACTCCGTAGTGACCTCTTAGCCAACGTGGCTCACCGGATAACAATATACCGGCATAAGAGACGCGTTTGGCTTCTCTCCAGAGAACCATACACATATCGATCATCAGATCCACTACAATTGGTACATTAATCACACTGCCTGCACACTTTGCAAAAAGCGTGCGTGAAGGACAAGCGACGCAATCGATACTTCGATGCATATTCATCGCCTGCCCAAAGTCTTGGAAAAAGCGCCATCCACGTGACGAACGTCTGGTACGACGACTTGGACGGAACACTGCCCGGTGAATTTCTTCACGGAAAGGTATGCGGGAGGAAGGGGTGAGCCCGATGGTTTTGGTAATGGGAGGAGGCGGGAGAGGTATTTTGGAGTACGCGTTCGACGATATCTCTGTATTGTGTTCTTCAAACCAATCATCAAGATGAGGAATTCTACCCACCCAATCCAAAATTCCCCTCTCATCTCCACACACCCAAGAAGAGCGATGCTTGCTCTCTCGGTCGCCCAAAGCTTCAAAAGGTCGGTTGTACGGGATCCAAGGATACCCACCTAGGTATTCGTAGGAGAAAAAAAATAGACCAAAATTGATCACTGGCGAAGGACTTTAATAATCCAATTGTTTAATTTCAGTTCAGAGAACTAAAAGTTAAGATAGTATCATAATTAAAGATTATCTAAGCATTTATTTGATACCCTAAATTCTCTTGATTCCATTTGTACTTGATTTATGATAGAATTTCTTGAGACAATCAATTTTGACCTCTCTTTTCTCCTATGAATAACATACCTACCTCCTATCTACCTCCTACATACTTCGTAACATACATCACATACATCACATCACATCACATCACAAACGCACGGTCATTCCCTCATTCTACGAATAGATCATCTTGTGGTCTATGCAAGCAAGCTCTGTCTATATTTGATGATGCTCTATACATCCTTCGTACATACAGGCGACCTCGGATACAGAAGTGATCAATGATCAATGATCAATGATGAATGATGAATGATATTTCCCCTGCCATGAGACTCCGTTTCAAAATCTACATACAATCTGATTGGAATAAATTAAACGCGTGGCGACGGATGCTTACCATACACATTTCTCATCGATGTGACCATACAATCCTTTGGTAACCGTGATTGTGGTGGCGATATCGACGACGACATCAAACCATACCATATCCCTTCCCCTCTGAAAAAAAAAAAGTCGATTCCATCACACAACCATTGATCTTGATTTTTGTACCGGTAATACATGCATGCATGAACAAATGAATGAATACATACCTACATTTCTAATCCAGATATCCAGATTCTCACCCAATCGGAGATAAGACTGTATTCTACAATAGTTATATAATTCCTGCACTTAATATCATTATATTAGATACACCAATCCCAATTCTGATATATGATAGAAAGTTCTACACTCATTGCTATACTAGTAAGATCATTCCCGTCACGACATTCGATATCAACATCTCAAAGCCAGCCACAGGAAGTAGAGTAGTCCGAGATGCACATACGATACATGAGGTAGTATTTCCATCCATCTCGTCACCATGAGATCTCGACATTGACTGATCAGCAGAAGATCAATAAACGCTCTTGCTCTCTCACTCCTAAAAGATTGTGGTAGTTATGATATGCTACGAATAGTATGAATGGTAAGGATACCTACCTAGTATCTTCCACCATCTACCCCGCTTCCTCCAAAGAGGCAAAGCAAAGCAAAGGAAAGCAAAGGAAAGGAAACAAGAATAAAAATAAAATCAACAATTAGCAAATACATGCACACCCACCACAAAACAAAACGAAATCGACCATCCCAAACCAGACAGAGAAAATAAAAAATGATAATCCTCTACCCATCCCATTCCGGTTCTCCCACAGATAGATACATACCACCATACCTACCTAGTCCATCCATCCATCCATCCGTCCATTCGATATCCTTCAACCCGCCCGCCTCCAGGGAAAACGTGAAAAGTTGGTGCGCGCTGCACCGCCGTTGAAACGCAATTCGAAAAAACGTATGATGCCGTCACTGTACCGAGGTGAGATGTTGGTTGCGGATTAAAGTTTCATTACATAGCTACCATAGGTAGGTAGGTAGGTAGGTAGGTACTTTTCCTGTCAAGAATTTGGGATTTTGTGTAGGTGGTTTTATACTTCTTTCTGTACATTCCAGATAGAGCAACTTGATAAATGATGTTTGAGAGGTGATGATAGATCTCTGATCGTTCAACCGGAATATCTCATTCGTTGTTGGTTATATGATATTTGTCTCATACATATATTGTCGAATAATATAAAATCTTATATACAATACAATAAAACAAGCTATCTAAAACATCGTACTTTGAATAAGTAGTAATAGGTAGCAGGAATACTCCAATTCATCACTTATACCCATAGATAAGTACCTACCTAGTATCCCAACGCGAAGACAGACACATTTATGCCTACCATCAACCTCCTCACCTGCTCTGCTGTACTCAGCGCGGTCACAGCCAGCGACACAAAACCGCATCATAGTCGTAGTCGTGGTCGTAGAATACAAAGTCCATCAAGTAGTAATCAATCAATCAATCAACCAACCAATCACAGCAATCCATCCATCCATCCACCCACCCATCTCTTCCATCTCTACAGCCAGCATTCATGCAATCAGCTACATATAACCTCACATCACTCGCCTCGCTCATCTCACTCTTCCCAAGCTCCCAAGCTCTCACCTCCACCAACTTCCTTCCTTTCCTTTCCTTTCCTTTCCTTCCCTCCCTTCTTTTCCCTTCCCAGCCCCAATCATCTCACAACATTCAATCAACCTACCCACCCCCCCAAGTCTAGTCCATAGCCATGAACACCTACATTATTTACTGCGCGCAGAGGGTTGGTCGTACACGACAATCTCCCTTTTAGGGCGTGGAGATTTATGGGTATTAGTTGTGTATCTGGTGATATGGTATGTTGTTTTTCTTTTGTTTTTGCTATGGAGTTTTGGATGGTATGTATATATATACGTACTCGTATATCATATTATATAGCATCTAAGAATCAGATATTTAACCTCACCTACATGGGAGAATTCCATTACGAGGATTTGATATAGAATATAGAATGCGTATAGAGAGATAGATACCTAGATAGATCGATAGATAGATCGATAGATAGATAGATAGTGGACTGAATGGATAGGTAGTTCCGTGATCAAACTCAGATCTAGATCTTTCGATACCTATATACATACATACACACCTACACACCCATCTAGATACCTATACAGAGATGCCATGAATATCAACACCAATAAACAAATAAACGAATGATCACGAATCACAATAGCTTGCTTCACCATTCTTGACTTTTCCTCGCGTGCTGGTCTGATCGAGTCTGGTCTGGTTTGGTCTTTTTGAATGAATACCGGTATGGATTGACAATGATACGAAGCCACCTCCCCTCCCCTCCCTCGGACAAGAAATCACGAGCCACGAGTCACGAGGACAACAACGAAGAAGACCAATACTAATGATACATTTTGAGATTTTGAGATTTTCGACGACATGATATGATACGATATGAGCAGGACAAAAGAACAGGGGCTGTTAGGGGGAATGAAATGGTAGAGGATGGATGGATGGATGGATGATGGATGGATCATATATGTATATGGTCTCGCGTGTAGATATGGATATACATATAAATGTGAATGCGTATTGAAATCTAACATCTAATATCTGATAATAGCTTCGAGCTTCGCAATGAACATTTCGGCTCCTGATTTTGAGTAACTCATGGTGGTCTGTCTATTAGCTATGGCTACCTGCTTAGCCGTGTTTTATCATTATCGCTCTTATTGACATTTACATTTACATTTATTAACATTTAATCGATTCAAACTCTTTCACTTGCAAGTCCTCAGATTATGCAATTCTCTGGATATAACTTCATATATGTATGTATATAATCCTCATTCATATATACCTAGATATAATACCTGATATCGATATTAAGCAACACAGTGTACGTACAGTACAGTACAATACATACCGCAATCCCTCCATCCATCCATCCATCCAGCCCCTCTCGCTCATCTCATCCATGCCATGATCCATCTCGTATCCCCCCCATCCCATTCTCCCCTGTGATTCACCCACCACCGTATCCCCATTCCAATCCCCAAATCCTTACCATCCCATAATTTTCCTGGACCCGTGACCGAATAAACCCTAAAAAACCGGGTCCCACCACGGACGACAAGCGTTGCAAAACGGGCCTTAACTCACGCTTGCGTTGGTCGTTTGTTGGCTGCTGACTTTCTCTCTAACTGCTCTCGGTTCGGGAGAGAAAAATGCATGAAATTCATTCCTACAGAGGGCGCGTTCAAGGTGGAAAAAATCATATGGTGCGGGAACTAGGTTTGACGAATAGGTACCCTGGATTTTAGTCGGGACCATGTTGGCGGTATCTAATTCTCATTGGGTCTCGGGTTGAATTTTGGGATGGGTGTTAGACTGATGGAGAGGGGTTTGGAACTTATTGATAACATGAGCGACACGAGGAGAGTTGACGAAACGTCGGGTTTGGGTGTGTTCTGTCTGTGTCTTTCTAACCTTGTGAATTGTACATACAGTATGGCTTGGTGTAATGAAGATGTTGTTGGTGGCTGGTGGTTACCTTGAAGCTTAGTATACTTCATTAAGCAATGTTCAGAGTTACCTCCCTAGTCATCAATGTAATTATGGATATGTATGCTGGCTCGATGATTCCACTGAAAGGAAAGCGAGAAGCCACCAACAAGCCATTTCCTACACTGATCAACAGATACATGATGCTGAGTACACCAAACACTATATGATGAGACACTCTGCAAACGAATTTCATGCCTCGAAAAGTCCAAAAATCCAAAAGGCTTCTTTGATATCTTGGCTAAGCCAAAGACCGGGTTGACAGTACTTGGTGACTTGAATGAGATAAATCAAATCCAGTCATGATTCGTGGTACTTCATATTTGTCCTACCTTACAATCTCTTTGAATTACATGCAGATTAATCACTTGTATTCCCCGTACCTATAAGGTACCGAATATCAAGTATCAGTATCGAGTATACCATATCTTGTCAACTGGTACAACATTGCCTCAAATGAAGAGATTTGAAGCCAATCCTGACCGGAATCTTTGTAACTTGGCCCGTGCATTGTATACCAAGAATGACCATGTGCATCCCAGAACATTCAACCCGACTGGTGAAGGAGACTTTTAGTGGTAAAACAAAAGTGACCATTCCTCAGGGAATTGCATCGCATCAGATATAGTAGGCGAAAGACGAGATAAAATAGATTGACTCTGTCCTTCAATCCACCAATTTGAGCCTTCTTTTCATCAAGGGATGTCCTTGACCTCACAGATTGATTCCCGCAAAAGGGGGCTCACGAGGCAAATGGATGTTGCTATGAAGTCTCACAGAAATGATGGATGGACTCGAAAAGGATGCAAAGTACCCGTCATTTTGCGCCAAGAACCGGGTACCCATAATGACTACGACATCCAGATGAGGCAGTGTATTGTCTGTACGGGTGTAACTCTTACCGTTAATATATCAATACGGCAGGTTGCCGGCCGCGGAGAGACACAGGATACCCTGAGGAGGTATCATCCCAATGAATTGGGAACATGGGAATCGACATTCCCATCTAGTATCGTGGACATTGACTCCTTTGGGCTAGCCGAATCCAATCGAATCATCAGGGGGATTGACGATGATCTGATATGGCTGGACACACCTCGCATCTAGACTCTGTGAATGAACCTCCTTTGGGAATCCTCGAGCGTGAGTATAACCAAATTCTATTCCCTCACCCTCACACGTCCTCACACGGACGACGGGGAAGACGGAGAGAGCGACAGAATGATTCCATCTCCTGCTACATCAGCATGCTGTACCTCACCTCTCTACCCACTGGATGGGACTTGCTGTCCTTTTTCTTTATATATGTGCACCCATTCACTCCATGCAGCATTGCCCCAAAAGCGTAATTAGCTTCAGCTCCATGTACGCGTTGCACCACTCACAAATCGCAAAGCTCGACCTCTAGTCGATCGTTCGACGTACATACCATACTACATATGGACGTGCGATACGCTTATGCAATGAGGACTGTTTTGGGATATGTCACGGGTCACGGGTCGTTTTTTTTTTGATGGTTATTTATGATTATTTTTGATCGATGGATGTTTTTGATCTATGGAGTAGTTATCGAAAATAGAAATGCAAGTTCAGGCATGAATACATTATTATTCATATTATTACTGTACTCCAAACATCATACCTACCTATTAGAATCAACAGTCCATAAATGAATGGATTTGATCGTTTAATTCTTTATTAATAATTCTCTTTCTCCTTCTCTTTCCCTCTTACGTGCCTTTCTCACTAAAAGATGCTCAGACATTAATATGGCGCGTGCTGGGGCATCAGAATTGATCCCATGATCGTTTTTAAATCACTCCATTACTGAAACTTTGTCCTCTTGGGAAGCCTTTATGGAACCTTAATCACAGACTTAAAACCAAAAATTGAATTGGCATGTGCTTGTTTGTATGTAACTTTAATGATCAAAAGTCATTTATCCCCCTTATTCATCAATACGTGAATAAGGAAAGAGGTACTCAATATCCATATTGTACTCGGTCTGAAATTGATTGAGGGGGGGAGAGAGAGAGAGAGAGAGAGAGGGAGAGGGAGAGAGAGAGAGATGGAGAAAGAGAGATGGAGAGAAAGAGAGAGAGATAGAGATACTAGGTAGAGATAGAAAGGTGGTCCATAACCACCACACTGGCACTAAGTACCGGGTTCGAGGAATATAGAATGATTGTCCTACCTTACCTTGCCTGACCACGATGGGATCTAGTAAAGAGGACGTTCACACATGATCTTCTGAGCATCTCACATACCAGGTAGGTCGAGCATAGTTCTAAAACTCGAGGTACGATTCGAGGTGGCAATGACTTGACCAATTGCATCAACTCCCCATTCCCAAGGGATGATACATAGCAGAGTACGTAGCTCCGTGGAGGGCAATCTCGACAGTATTAGCTTGCGAGCGAGCAGGTACCGTTCCACGTTCCTGAAAGAAAGATTTTCCGGGTCTCGTTTTATGCTTTACCAAGACTGTGGTGATGGCAAAAAGATTTCCAAGTATGAAGGCCATAAAGCTTGGATATGACATCAATGGTTTGGTATGTTGGTATCTCGAGTATTAATAATCGGAGCTTGATTGAACAAGTAATCAATGCTAGGAAATCGAAATAGGGAAAAAGGAAGCTCTTTTTCTTTGTTCCTCTCTTGGATGAATTGAGATGTGAGATACCCAGAGACTTGATTGAAATTCATCAAGGCACAAAATGTAATTGTGTACATGTAGTCTGCCGTAGACTTGTTAATATGCTTGTTGCTTCTATGACCTAAATACAGAAAGAAATACCACGAGATGATATGAATATCTCCCATCAATATGTGGTATAGAATTCTGTCAAGTACGAGGCGTACGCTATCAAAGGTAGCACAGAGGATTTAAATGTCTATAATGTCATTGATTCACAAATCAAGGTCATGTTAGAGATCTTGACAGAAAATAACCCCTAACTAAAAACTACTCGATGCCGAGAATTTCGAACCCCTCATTCTTGTCCCGCATTGAGCTTCACGTTTATCATTTCTCATCATTGCTCAAAGAATACCAAACTACCTACTGATTGTCCTTGGAGATTCGGAGTTGATTTATGAAGATATACATCTAATAAATTCCGACTCTACTAACAGATCATTCGTTCTACCAAACGGATTTAGATTATTCTATTTAGATATTTTATTTACTTCAAACCTATAAGTTACCTCATCATTTCTCTACCCAGCTTTTTCCCTTCACCATCCGCCTCCTCCTCCTCCTCCTCCTCCTTTAATCCTTGTCTCTCCCATCTTTCTCTCCAGTACTCCACGAGTCCTATAAAAATAATTCATCCCCTTCCCTGTCTTTTGCCCCCCCCTCTGTATACACTTTGCTGCAATGCAGGACAGAAAAAAAGACAGCAAAAGGAAAACCAAACGTCAAGCTCAAGCACGCTAATCTAAGACCAAATGATTAAGCGATTGTCATCTTACCTACGTCTATCCGCTTTTTATGTTGGTGGTGACCCCTCATATGGCTCGTTCTTGCCAACCCTTCGCATGGACTAAGGCAAAGCATCCACTATCCACTGTTGATCTCTGAGAGGAAGAAGATCATTCGCCGACACGCCTCTTACTCCACAATCCAAAGTTTAACACCTGCACCATCGAAATTTATTCACTAGACGACTACATTCGTCAAATGAACACGGAGCTTGATATTCTAGGTACAGCTTTCGCCCACAGTACAAAGTACTCGCTTCGTACCTACCGGAAGATAGAGAGAAAAGCAAGTAGAAGTAGATGATAAAAATTAAGGAATTTTGACAAAAAGTAAAAAGAAGGGACTTTTAGCCCCTCTCTCTTATCCTCCACCCTGTTCATTCGATTGAGCTACAAATCTTGACTCCCTATGATTGTCGACAAGAAGACCAATTTGATCATTCAATTTACTCGGTACTCAGTCCAATATTGACCTCGGAACCCCCTGTGCTCACTCTATTAAACCTCTCACTACATTTACATCACGTTATGAACTCCCGTCTCGATCTTTTTATCCTTCTGCCTTCTGACCTACTACCAACAAAACAAGCCATCATCTAATCCTACCTCTACCAGCCTCTTCTGATCCTCGTTGGGACCCCTTCATTAGACTGTGAGAATTGATATCACAAAGTCCCGGGAGTCTGTTGCAAATTATCGAGGCGTCTACTCTAATTCCATCGCCTGACTGCTAATATCTTTGATACCTCATCCATCCAATCCGGTTCCAGTCATTCTCAGTTACCAATACTACATATATGTAATAATTACTTATATCACAATGCATTCAGAGTAATAAGATCAAATCACAGCCTTGTTAGACAATATCAAATCGAGTCCCATAAGCCCAAAAAGGAAAGATTAATTAACAAACCTCCCTCGACTATTTTGTTGTGTCATGATCATTTATTTGAATTAGATATTGGAACAGCTACATACAGCCTTTTAACCTTTTCTACTCTTGCCTTTCTTCCTGCCCAAAATACAACGTGCCAGCCTTATCTCATCAGTCACTTCCCCAACTGTTTTGTTCTATATCATCGAGATTATATCTTTCGAATCAATCCCAAACAACGATTCAACATTTTCATCTTGAATTGTGTTACAAGACCCAAGAGATCCTGTCCCCCCCTCCCCTCATTACAAACTATTGGTACCTTTTTTGACTGCGGTACGGTACGATGATTGGTAAATAAGAGGCGCACGAAGAAGTCGCTAGGAACGAGACTACTGAGAACGAATTAAACACTACGCTTGAAGGATCATGAGCAACAAGTGACCATTACAAAAAGCACAAACGGGTCAAACCTTTTTGAACGAATCAAGAAGTCAGGAAATACTACCCTAGTCGACCATTAGTCCCAACTACTCCCATCTCCAAAAAAAACCGAGCGCGTGAGCAACATAGCCAGTATTTTGAGAGCCAAGGAATAAATAACTTTGGAGCCAAATTCAGACAGGACAAGACAAGAAGCAGAAGAGTAGAGGAGTTGGATTCACTTAGCAGTACGCAACGACAAACTCCCTTAGCTACTACGTACACATTCACATTCAGGACGCAGGCAGTACGGAAGCACGATCTACGAACTACTCCCTTCAATCTTATTTTATAACTTCTTTTTTTTATACCTCAAGTATATTCATCCATTCAACCTCTTACATTACAATAAACTTCTCTCTCTTTTTCCTCTTTTACCCTTTTAGGTGATTTGTGGTGTCTTTTGGATCAAATCAAGAAATTGACCAGGCAAATTCACCCACCCAACGACCACTACTACTACCACCACCATTACGATCTCTTCCTCTCTCGCTCTCTCTCTCTCTCTCTCCCTCTTTTCTTTACTTTACACTGCCTCTACAGTCCCTTGACCATACACATAGACAATCACTATACACCACGCATCACGCACCTGCACTACCTTAGTTACCTTGCCTTAGTCTACCTTGCCTTAAGTTACCTTAGTTTACCTCAACCTTCCTCTTACTTCATCCATTCTCCATCTCACTCCTAGATTCCTCCCTCGCTCTCCGGAAATCATACAATCATACGGCCATCCGCATACGACCATTCGAGCATCGACCGACCATACGGCCATACGACCAATACACACCACCTCCTCCTCCTCCACAACCATAACCACCACTACCACCACCCACCATTCACCACACATCCCATTCATCCATCAACAAATCAATACATACTACCATACAGGACATATTACATACTATCCACTCAACGAACCACTTCAATTTTACCTTGATCACCTTACCTGTTCCGTATTTGAGAAAAGAAAGGAAACCCAAAGCAAAGCAAAGCAACACAAAACAAAACAAAACAAAACATAACCAAAAAATAACATAAACAATCACGCACAGCAACTACCATTGTCGAAGTTGATTTTATTCATTCATTGGAATAATCCTCGAATTTCGAACTTCAAGGTCCTTTCTTTACGAAATCGATACAATCTCATACATACCATACATACCATTCAAATTCGCATTCAATCCACAAATACATTAACATAACCATTACCTCAAGTTGAATTTAAAATACGGTACGCCTTGACCAACTCTTCTTTTGCCTTGCCTTGTTCATTCATTACTTCCGTACACATAATACATATTGGCACACTTGCACACTTGCACACTTGGACATTTACATTACATACACACCTTGTCTTTCTCTCTCTCTCTCTTATTACTCTCTCTTCCTGTCTCTCTCTCTCTCTCTCTCTGCCTTTACTTCTCCCTCCACACCACACACCACACACCACACACCACATACATAACATAACATAACATAACATCCATACATCCCATACATCCCCCCCCCATCCCACCGCCTTTCACCCCAACCCCTCCCAACCATTAAAGGGCCACAACCACTAACTCCCCAATTTCTCATCAATCAGCCGCAGTCTCACTTTGGTCATTAATCTTCGATTTTTTTCCAAGTTTTCGATTTTCAAATTCGGTGAATAATTTCTTCGACTGCTCGGCCTGTCACGTTATTGAAGATCATTCACTTGGTAATTACCGATTGATTACTTGTGGTCGCACACTCGGTATTCAATTGCCCAACACGGACTACAACAGGTCATCAACCAGTCTCCTCACAACCCTCCTCGTTTACAGCCCACTTCACGAACGATAATAATCGGTGTTTTGGACTTCACTATGTCGTCAAATCGGCCTGCTGCCTTCTCGAGCTTAAGAATGGGAGGTAAGAAACATACTCCTACATATGGTCTTTCCCCTTACCTTGCTACCATCTCTTTTTTTTCTTTGGGGAGAAAGATTGATGCTAACGTTTTTTTTTTAAATTCGACAGAAGTCATCCGTGAAAAGGTCCAAGATGGCGTTACTGGCGAAACCCGAGATATGCAATATACACAATGCAAGATTGTTGGAAATGGTTCCTTCGGTGTTGTCTTTCAAACCAAGTTGTCACCTTCAGGAGAAGATGCTGCCATCAAACGCGTTTTGCAAGACAAGAGATTCAAGGTCCGCGACGTCTCTTCGAGTCTACGAGGAATTGGTTACTGATACAAATGATAGAATCGTGAATTGCAAATCATGCGCATTGTTCGTCACCCCAACATTGTCGAACTAAAGGCCTTCTACTATTCCAACGGCGAGCGAGTAAGTGTATTCCATCCTGCACAAACATACTGAGCATTTCTAACGACCTTTGGGTAGAAGGATGAAGTATATCTTAATCTAGTGCAAGAATTCGTCCCCGAGACCGTTTACCGCGCATCAAGATATTTCAACAAGATGAAGACAACCATGCCGATCATCGAAGTCAAGCTTTACATTTATCAACTCTTCCGCGCCCTAGCCTATATCCACTCCCAAGGAATCTGCCATCGTGATATCAAGCCACAAAATTTGCTCTTAGACCCAGGCAGTGGAATTTTGAAGTTGTGTGATTTTGGTAGTGCAAAGATACTCGTAGAGAATGAGCCAAACGTTTCATACATTTGCTCACGCTACTACAGAGCACCCGAGTTAATTTTCGGTGCTACTAACTACACAACCAAGATTGGTAAGAACACACGCATGGTGAAGACGGAGTAAATGATGCTGACTGTCTTGATAGATGTTTGGTCAACTGGTTGTGTGATGGCAGAATTAATGCTTGGTCAACCACTCTTCCCAGGTGAATCTGGTATTGATCAACTCGTCGAAATCATCAAGGTCTTAGGTACACCAACTCGGGATCAAATTCGTACCATGAACCCCAACTATATGGAGCACAAGTTCCCTCAGATCAAGCCACACCCATTTAACAAGGTCTTCCGCAAAGCCGATGCTAGTGCCATCGAGCTCATCTCCAAGCTGTTAGAGTATACTCCTACTGAGAGACTCTCAGCCATTGAAGCTATGGTTCACCCATTCTTTGATGAGTTACGTGAACCAGACAAGACATTCCCGGATTCTCGCCACCCCGGCAACTCAGCAAAGAATCTCCCAACTCTGTTCGACTTCTCTCTTCATGGTATGTTATGAATTTTACTTTATGTGATACTAGCATATGATACTAATCCTTTAATAGAATTATCCATTGCACCGGAACACAACCAACGGCTGGTACCGCAATATATTCGAGCAGGTTTGGTAGCCAGAGATAGCAAACTTGATATTGATAGCCCAGATTTCAAACCATTGACGAGAGATGCGATGATGGCAAGATTAGATTGAGGGAGGAGTTAAAGCAAGATGACTGATGAATGAATGCTTTCCTGTCGCTCGACCTTAGAGCTCTGCAATGGAGTCGAGATTTTTCGAGCGATAACACCCGGCTATAAAAAACCCCCAGCATATTAAAGGTTCTGCATATCTCGTCTGCAACGTTGGCAGGCCAAAATCAAGTTTGTGGAAGTCCGGGAGATGCATGGCAGGAATACGAAGTTAGTCTATGATGATGGTATGCGTTATTTGGTTTGATAGGAATACCCATAAGGTGGAATTTTCGTTCAGCACGAGTTTTCAGTTCCAGCTAAGGATACTCCCTTGGTACTCGAAACAGCGGTGATTGGGAAAGGGATATGCAATATGATGGATATTGATTCATGAGGGGGGTTGTGGAAAGGGGGTGGGTGGTAGTTTATGGGATTCAACGAATACTTCTATCGGCACCTCGTTACTAGACTTTCTTGCATGAGGAGAAAAAATTATGGCCTTTTTGCTCTCGTCTCCCGTTTTTTGTTCCACAGTGTGTTGTGTGCCTCGTGTGATGAGGATTGATGGGTTGGCTGGACCTTCTACTTTTGCATTTTTCTGACTCTTTTCGTTTTCATCCTTTTCATTTTCTCTTCTTTCTCGGCACCTCTTCGATCGCTACTTGATATTTTGATACTCCAACACAGGCATGCAAGCAAGATTCAGGCGTGCCTCTTTTTTCTTTTACATTTTACATTTTAGTTGTGGTTGTCATGGTGGACGAATATTGATATGGCATGAATGGAAAGGATTAATTGATACGAGAGAAATTAAAGGAAAATAAATAGGATAGGGGTTACTAGGCTTACTATTAAAAAAGGGAAAATTCAAAGGGGTTGGGCTACAACTATTTCTCCATGTTACTGTTGATTCTTTCTTCTCACTTGTCTTTTTCAGAGCTTGATGGATTTATTGAAAGGGGAGAGGAGAGATGGAGAGAGGGAGGGGAGATAGATTGATCGGGATCGATGAACATGAGGGGATACTTTTCTTTTGTCATATGATCGAGTGGGTGGTTAGGATTGGTGAGGGGAGAGTTTGCTTATTGTTGTCGTCGTCGTTGTTGTTGTTGTTGCAATCGTTGTATTGAAAATGGACAAACCAGAAAATAACAAAATATGAATTAATTGAAGTGTATTGTGAAATGAAGTGTTTTTTTTTGCTTTGGTCTGTAAGTGATGAAATGTGATGAATATATTGTTGATGAGTCTGTGATTATGTGTAGGGGCACTATCACTACATAGGTAACTAGATGTGTGTCTTGAGGTGAAAACCCAAAGGCACTGAGAAGTATCTTTTCTTACAACTATATCATCCTTGCCTTGATGTATACACATTGTGACGATGCACAAGTGTGTATTGAGTTCTTTGAATAATAAAGTAGGTATATTGACGTTTTCTACCACCCTTTGATTTATTGAATTGCTGGGTACAATGAATGGCACATTCCATAGCCTCTCGCTGTAGTACCGGTATGTATGCTAATAAGGCAACAAGGCAACAAGGCAACATGGCAGCACGTCCTTCCTACCAGAGATGGACCGAGCTCCTTTTTTAGCATCACAGCTCGAATCTTGAAGAGGTTAAATGGATAAATAAATAAATCAATCTTCAAGGTTTCTCGAAGATTTGGTATTGGAATTGACTACGGCACCGCACACAAATCGGTCAATTCGATTGAGGGTTTCAAAGCGGGACGTCTTTTTTTGAAAGATTGTTTTGTTTGTTGATTGGTTTTGATTAATACGATTCGACACTTGGGAATTTTTAAAGGCTGTCCGCTGTCTGATCGATTGAGAAGGCAGAGGAGAATAAAAAGAGGAAGAGCAATTGATCGCGAATACGAAGAATAAAGCACATTGGAAATCAAATTCGGGCGCGACTCGACTGCGAAGTGAGAGGGATTTAGTAAAGGGAAAATAAGAAAAGATGGCGGATTATGAGAGAGGTGCTGAGAGGGGAGGAGAGAATAGAGGAGGGTATCAGGGAGATAGAGGAGAAGGGGGAAATAGAGGAGGGGATCGTGGGTATGGTAATGGGGAGAGGGAGGAGAGAGGTGGGAGAGGTGGTGGGTATAGAGGGAGATATAATGGGGGTGGTGGAAGAGGTGGTGGTGGTAGGAAGAGGTATAGAGGTTAGTCGATGTGCTTTTTGTTTGTTTTGTTTTCATTTTTGAGACGAGAGAGACGGTGTGGATAAGGCTTCGAGATAGTAATGAAGTCGATTGACGGAAGGGAAAGTAGTGATGAAGAAGATGGCGATTTGGAAGATGAGCTTCAGCTTCGAAAGCTTTGACGACAGCTTCGATTCTCGAGGGTTTCAGTGATCGCAGCACAAGAAACAAAGCTAATAATGTCATTCTCAAACCACAGATGAAGATGATTACGATCGACGACCTCAAAGACGTCGCTACGAAGAACCACTCATCGTCAAAGTTCGCAAACAACTTCTTTCTATCGCCGAATCACCTCTCAAGCGCGTCGAAACGGAAGTAGCCGAAATAGCCAAAACTGTTTGCGACAACTACGATGATGTCGAATTGCGTGATTCATTCTATGATTTGTCGCTGCAATTGGTCGTAGAACAACCTTTCAAGATCCCCTTCGTCGCTGCAGTGGTTATGGTATTGAATACTTTGAAAGAGGAGATGGTTATGGAATTGTTGGAACGAGCTGTAAAGGGCCTGAACAAATCGATCATCAAGGGCGATTGGAGACAGGTCAAGTTATATATGAAGTTCTTGGGAAGCTTGCAGGGTTTATTGGAGGGTGATGGTGTTTTCACTATTCTACAGGATTTCTTAACCAAGGCCCTGGATTTGCAGACGGAGAACAATGAAGAGGTGAGAGATTTGCGTGATGAGATTGTCTTCTGCGATTGTTTTGCTAACATTGACATTTTAGACTATCGGCCCTGAATTGGTCAAGATTATCCTTCTTACTATTCCATATATCATGGCATCTTCAGCGACAGATGCTCATGAGAAAGCTGCAGCTATGATTGAGAACACTGATATCATTGCTTCTGAACCACATGTTTTACAAGCTTTGGTTGATCCATATCCAGGAGATGCCAAAGATGATACCATTGCACCAGTTGGTGTTTTGAGTCTTTTGCAAAAGCAATTGCAAGCTGAATCGCAAAATGGATGGGAACTCTTCTGTTTACCAAGACCGTGGAAGATGATTGAGCCAGAACAACAAGAAGCTTTGGCTTCCGCTTCAAGACATACATTGCCAACAATTACTCTCCCTGAGGTTGTCAATGCTGGACCAAGACCTCTGTTTCCTGAGCTTTACTTTTCGGTTTACGCCAATCAGGATGTGGAGACTGTACCACCTATCACGGATATTTCATCATGTCTGTTGAGAGATGCTTTGGTTGATACGATCAACATCTTGGATTACAACAGAAATGCTACTGCCAAATTCTTGATCGATATCGATTGTTACTTTGCTCCTGACACTTTTGTCAAGAGAGCTACACCATTCGACAGACTTCGAGATGTCGAGGGAGATAGATCAACATGGAAACCTGAGGATGTTGCAGTCGATGCAGTCTTTTCTCAGCTATTCCAACTTCCAGTTCCGGAACACAAACTTGTTTATTACCATGCAGTCTTGACGGAATCTTGCAAGATTGCACCAGCTGCTATCGCGCCATCTCTTGGTCGTGCGATCCGTTTCTTGTATAGAAATGTGGATTCGATGGATCTAGAATTGAGCAGTAGATTTATGGATTGGTTCTCACATCATTTGAGTAACTTTGGTTTCACTTGGAAGTGGACTGAATGGATTGATGATGTGGAACTCTCGGATTTGGACCCAAAGAAGGCTTTTATTATCGGTTCTTTGGATAAGGAGATTCGATTGAGTTTTGCTCAGAGAATCAAGGGCACTTTACCACCTCCATACCAACAGTTGATCACAGAGGAGAAGGAAAAGGATACGCCTGATTTTAAGTTTGATGATCCAAGTAAGTAATATCATTTCTAGAGATAAGAGCACTTCTAATAGTCCGCAGGCACACCATTTAGCGCCGAAGGACAGGAAATCCTCGCACTTCTCCGCAAAAAGGCAACAGAAGAGGAGATTCAACCAGTAGTCGATCGAATTCACGCTTTGGCAGTTGAACAAGCACTTCCAGATCCTCTCGTTCCATCTACAGATGCATACGTAACATCAATCTGCTACATCGGATCCAAATCTCTCAGTCACGTTCTCTCTTGCATTGAACGTTGCAAAGATCGCCTTCTAGCCATTGGACCCGTCTCCCCAGTCGCTAGACGCCAAATCATCACTTCGGTTATGCAATATTGGAAGGATCAACCAGGTATCGGTGTTAATATCATTGACAAACTTTTGAACTATACAATTCTCAGCCCGCAAAGTGTGGTGCAATGGGCGATTGGTAGTGAGGGCAAAAGACTCAGTCAGAGTTTCGTGTACGAGATGGTTGAAGCTACGGTTGGAAAAGTTACTGGACGTATTCGTCAAGTCCAGCTCAGTCTTCGTGTTCCGGGATTATTAGAGGAACAGAAACAATTGATTGAGAAAACCGTCGAGATGGAGAGAATCAACATGAGAGAATTGGGAAGGGAGATGGATGAGCTTTTGACGGCGTGGGCGAACGGATCCAAGGACCAGGAAATCGAAATGGATGGAAGGGAAGAAGATCGGGAGTTGGTCAGGGGATGGGGAGAGAGATGGTTGAGAGTTTTTAGAAGAAAATTCGCGGTTGAGGAGGCTTGGGGCGTAGAGGCTAGTAGGTGGGTGGCGCCTCCCGAACCGGAGGTCGAGGAGGTGCAGGAGGTTGTGGTGGGAGAGGTTAAGGCGGTGCAGAATCCCGAGGAAATGAAAATTGATGGGGATGTGGAGGTTGCTGCTGAGGCGGCGGATTATGAGGGAATTAATTAGAGGGGGTTTGGATTGCGGATAGGGTGTACGTTTGTGAATTGAAAAGGAAAGGAAAGGAGGTCCAATAAAAAGAGAAGAAAATGGAGATGAGAATTTGCATACACAGCAAGCAAGTAAAGTGTCACATCATATTGCAAATGCAAGGGAGTTTTTTGCAATTTTTTCCATACGTTTCAGTGTTCACTTTTTGGGGGAGTGTACGATAGATAGCGCAGAGCAGAGCAGAGTACGACGCAAAAATGAGGAAGTTGACATGACAAAAATACAAAGAGTTGAGAAATAGATAACATGAATACTTGAATGTCATGTTGATTGACAATTGTTTATTATTGTACTATTCTTCCTCCACTCCCTCACTCCATCGATATGTATATGTATCTTTTAATATTTGATGCTGCGTGAGCGAGCGAGCATCGGGGCCATCTAGAACTATAGCTGTAGTTGTAGCTAGCTGTAGCTGTATAAAAGTGTTACTAACTATTTTGCTAGATACCGAAATCCATTCATCCATTGATCAGACGAATGAATGAATGGATGGATGGATGGATGGATGGATGGATGAAAGATGCAATGTAACGAGTGGTGGTAACTCACCCCTTTGGAACGCCGTTGTGAACGCCAGTCCTGATATATATCCATTGCCCGCGCTTGATTTTCATGGGTGCTTTTTCTCTTCTCCTTCTCTGGTATTCTTGACCAAATTTATCTTTATCTCTCTCCTGGTCTCAATCTCACACTCCACAAACTCACATTGCGATTTTTAGAATCTCGTTATTTATCCCAACTTATCTCACCTCCTCCCATAACCTTGTCCTCCATGACCTTGTGGTCCCGCTGGTGGCATCCCCATCGGCATTCCCTGAGCACCTCCAAATCCAGGAGGTGCTTGCATGTTTAATAAACCGGGCGGAGGAACCATTCCTGGTTGTCCAGGAGCTGGCATACCTCCCGGTGGAGCGAATCCAGGTGGGAACTGAATTCCTCGTGCAGGTCCAGTAGTAGGATGTCCGTATGCTCCGCCTGGACCAGTGGGTGGAACATGTTGATTGTGGAAATCCATTTGTGGGCCACCATAGCCGGCTTGCGAAGGGGGTGGTCTTTGAGGGAGGCCAGATGGAGGAGGTGGGAGATGCTGGGGCTGTCCCCCTGGAGCACCGCGTGGACCACCGGGGGGAGGGACGGAATTGTAAGCGGGACGTTGTGGTGGAAATCCTGGGGGTGCGGTAGGTATGGGAGAGTCGTTCAACATTGCTGCTGGAGCTTGTGGGATTCCATTCATGCCTAATAATAATCCTGGAGGCATGTTTTGTAGATCTGGAATTACGTTGTGTTTCTTTGCTTGGGCTGCTAAGGCTCTCTCGGCTGCATCTCCGTGTCTTTCTCCTTTGCCATCTTTCTTGTATGCGTATTGAACGGAGATGTCTTTGTTCATTAAATATTGACCGTTCATATTTGCGATTGCATCGTCGGAAGCTTCGAAGTTGGCATAGGATACGAAACCGTAACCTTTAGAAAGAGAGGATTCGTCGCGAGCGATCTTGGGAGGAGAGATGAGAGATCCAAAGCGCGAGAAGGTATCGTATAGGGTCTTTTCGTCCACCATAGGGTCAAGATTACCAATGAACAGCTCGGCGCCCACTTCAACAGTCTTTTGTTTATCGGCAGAGGCCTAGATTTCCTAGTTAGTAAACTCTTCATGAATTTGGAAGACTGTGTAGAATAAGAATAAAACAAACCTTGTTCACACGGATTGGTTTTCCAAATAACCGCACTTGATTCATAATGCGCGCCGCATATTCAGCATCCTCTTCCGATATAAATTCCACAAATCCATAGCCCTGATGATTTTGAGTGACGCGATCTTTGGGTAAATGTACATTGACAATGCGCCCAGCTTGTAGCATCAATTCCCATACCAAGCTATCAGTAACGCGCTCATCAATATTGCCAATATAGACGGTGGCTTCCTTGTCTTGTTCCCTAAGAGAGCGGCGTTGCGCCATGGTTAGCTTTGGATACTTTCTGGAGGCTTGAACTTGGGAAGGCTAGCAATTTGAAAATTGAAAGCTGGGAACAAGGAATTATTCACCAATGTCTTGCTCCTGACATATTGTTGTTTTGGTTGGAGCTAGAGAGTGAGTTCCCGTTGTTTATGTTTAATAAAGTGAGAGTAAGATGGAAAAAGTGCAGCTGTAGTGAATATGCATGGAGCTGTACAGTGAAGCTCAAGATGCGACGGAAAAATAATGGTGGATTAGTCATCAGCCTTGTTGATTGTGAGAAACCTTGATCACTTTTTTATACTGGAAGTAAAAGTATAGGAAGACAAGCCAGAACATTTGATTTTACAACATATTGTATGTATACTTGTTGGAGTATTTCTTCTTGTCTGCAGAACACTAATTGTCTACAGCTCTGAATTAAGAAATTTTATCAAAATGCAACTTTCTGAAGAATCTAAGGTTCGCATGCAGATGCCCTTCATATGCTGGATGGGTGGAATGGTTTTGTTGACTTTAGAATAGGAGCGCATTGGAAAGCTCATTGACTATTCCCGTGTTGCTATCCATTAGTGAGGATATTCTTCATCTTTCATATTGGAATTATTCTGACAGTTTACAGTGGTTACCTCCCATTGATCCTCTACCTTGGTACGAATTGGCAAACGACATGAAGCACAAAGACATGCATGCTAATGAAATCAGGATACACCCGCAGTGAACCAAGACCATCCATTGTCAGGTCAGTCTCTCTGCAGGCTCTGAATGCTAAAGCATATACTAATGTCCATCTACAGACTCCTCTCTCCTCTCGCATAAATTCTTTATCAAGAATCACCAAACGGAAATGTTTTACTAGTCGGCATGGATATGGAGATAGAGATTCACGGGAAGGAATTGCGAGGCAGAACTGAACTATATATGGGGCCACTGGCATTAACCAGAGAATGATATGACGGTTGTAGCAATATGAGGCGTTCATGAAATAATGAAATGCTCAGGGAGCTTATGTTTTATGGTGGAAACATACCATACGAAGATAATTGTACAATAGCGCAAAAAGCGCAATCACCACTACGAAATCAAAACCATTGCCTGTCTTCAGTCCTAATTTTGAATGCCTCATTCTTTGTCGTCTGAATAATGTGAAACTCTACTCAATATGTCATTTGCCCCCGCCTCGGCAAGCCCCAGAAAATTATGAAGCTTTATTTTCGTCATCGGCTGTAAATATATTGCCCCTCGCAACTTCAACATTCTCGCAATGACAAACATAAATCTTCCCTTATGACCGAAAACCATGCGCGCATCTCTCCCGCGCTGGTCGAGACAATTGCTGGCCTCTCGGCCGGTACAGCATCTACCCTAGCCGTTCATCCTTTAGATGTTATCAAAACGCGATTACAAAGTAACTTTATGCCCCTCCTTCCTACTCAATCCATTGCTAACACCATCAGTTCACCGCAGTACATCCCACACTCCAGCCAGCGGTCTCACCATCCTCCGTAGTCTAACCCAACAGCCTCAACCTCTACAAAGTCTCTACCGCGGTCTAACGCCCAATCTCATCGGCAACGCCAGTAGCTGGGCCCTCTTCTTCTACTTCAAAAATATCTTCGAATCGTCCCTTCGTTCCTTCCACAACCAACCTTCACATTCCAATTATGCCTCTCTTACACCCATCGACTATTTTCTCGCGTCTGGCTCGGCAGGTATCATGATTACCATCACTACAAATCCAATCTGGGTACTCAAGACCCGAATGCTGAGTTCGGATCGAAGCAGCAAAGGAGCGTATCAAAGCATGTGGCATGGCGCTCGACATTTATGGCAACATGAAGGATTACGAGGGTTCTACAGAGGTGTGGGTATCAGTCTACTGGGCAATAGTCACGGAGCCGTACAATTCGCCGTCTATGAGCCCTTGAAGAATTTCTGGCGTAATCATTGCTCACACCAGACTCTAAGGGGCGATAGAGAAAGTTCTCAGGCTAAACTTGGGAATACGGCGACGCTGTTACTTAGTAGCTCGGCGAAAATTATTGCGGGAACGGCAACGTATCCGTATCAGGTTGTGAGGAGTAGATTGCAAACGTATGATGCGGAAGAACGGTTTGGGAAGGGAATTAGAGGGGTTGTTGGGAAGGTTTGGAGAGAGGAGGGATGGAGGGGGTTCTATAGAGGGTTGGGTACGAATATTGTGAGAGTTTTGCCTGCGACTTGGGTGACGTTCTTGGTATATGAGAATGCGAGGTTTTATCTGCCAAGGCAGTGGAATATAGATGGGGAGGAGTAGGAAAGGGGTATAGATGAGGTAAGAAAATCTCGCGAATTGTATTTGTATTGAGTGTAAGCTATCATACGCGCGCAAATTTTGGGCTTCGGATGAGATATAGACCATTGTACTATAAGAGCTTCAGGAGATTGTATTGCTATCTACTGATAAGTAGAGGATCAGTTGCCGTGTCTCCAATCACTTTTTCCAACAAACCACTTCACCACAGCCAGTCTTCCACCAGCATCCCTCCGTTTTCTCCCAAGCATCCCACTCTTCAATCATTTCTCTGATTTTCTCATTGCTGTCCACAACTCCTAGCCTGACCGCGTTGTTGCCAACATCACCAGTCATCAAAGAGTCCTTCCAACTCGGTTGCATCAGATAACTGTAACTCTCCACCACGTTCTCATTTTCAAAACCCGCTTCTCTAGCCCACTTCCCCAAAAAATTTCCAGCATGTGGCTCTGATCCTTTCTCTCTGATCATCGCTTCCATGATCTCAACAGATCTCTTGAGTCCAGAAGTGGAAGGATAAAACAGAGCATCTCCCATATCACTCTCCCTACAAGCCACAAATCCCCCTACTTTACAAACTCTCCTCATCTCCTTGATAGCTTTCACAGGATCTGGTAAATGAATGAGTAGCTGATGCGTATACACTACATCAAATGTCTCATCCTCAAAAGGTAACTTCATCACATCGCCAATTTGAAACGAACAGTTCTTCAATCCCAGATCTTTGGCTTTTGCATCAGCAACCTCAATGACTGATTCCCCAGCATCGAGACCAACAATTGACGCCTGAGGAAGGAGTGAGGCAATGTCAGTTGTGATTGAACCGGGGCCACAGCCGAGATCTAGGATGTGTGACTTGAGAGTCAGGTGAGGTAGGAAATAGGCGCAACAGGTAGAGGCGCGACGGAGGGAGTGTCGATCTACTACTGCAGGACTGTAGCCGAGGGAGTAAGTTTTGTCAGATGCCATGGTATGTGTGATAGGTTGTTTTGTTGATGACTGGTCTATATGTTAGAGAAGAGCTATTCAAGAGGTTTCCCTCCGGAGATAAGATGGAGGTAAGTAGTGATTACGTCATCGTACTTTCCTCGATATGTTATAGCAGGTAGAGAGCAGGTCAAAGCTGCAAATAGCTGAGGCTAGGAATTGAGATGTATCAAGTACGAGCTGAGTTTTTACACAGCAGCAATGTACTTGAATAAGGTAAAATCTGCCTTGGCATGCTGACTACAGCCTCATATGTGCTCTTCTGCTGATCAGACAAAAATTCCTGAGAGAGTCAGGCCAACATGAGAGATCCGTTGACGTATGAATATGCTGTGTTTCAGTAGATAATTCTTAGTGCACCACCTCGGGCCAAGTCAAATTTCCCATCAGGTCTCCTTCTATGTAAAGCTTTCTTTCAAGTTGATTCGAAAGGCGTCTACTGTTGGTGAAGATAAGCAACAGTATTTATCTAACTGAGCATATATCTGGAGAAGGTATCGTATGAGCCGAATAAGGGTTGACAATCTGATACTTCCAGGTTTACTTGCATTGAAGCATTGGGAATTCATTGTCCAGATTGAAGGAAAACATTGATACACAACGTTTGAATCAAGAATGAACAATTTGAGCCATTTGAACAATGGCCCAAGCTGGAGAAATCTGACATGATCAATGAAATGCGGTATGGAAGTGGCAAAATGTAGATTGACTTCACTGTGCAACTATATGTGGAAGCTGGCTTGGATCTTTCAGTCTGCATCGCCAGCAGTGTTTGATTGGTGGTGGATGAGGCTTCATGATTAAACTCACCGTAGCCTCATAGCCGCATTGTCTTGTCAGATATCATGCCTTCTCTTCTTACTCTTCCGTTAATTTGTTCGCAGACGCAAAAGCATATCGCCACAACAGAACTTGCTCGTGATGGGGTGAATACAGTTTGCAGCTCTCCACTTGCGTGCAGACTTATGTAGATTGCGACCTTGATTGCCGGATTTGAGTTCCAGATCATTTGTAATTGGTTCTTTGATGGGAGCAAAGCAACATTTTGACCATGTCAGGTCTATACGAGATCGACAACTGACTTGTGATTGCCCTCGGGCAATATCTATCTACAGAACCCTAAGTTCGGCAGATATAACACTGAGACCGGTGAGTTAGACTTGTGCTCGTGCTTAGATGATAATGGATGTGAATGGAAGGGCGAGGATACAAGTGATGACGGGAACAAGCTTGAAAATGGGGGCGAGAGCATAGATAACAGTAATGAGGATGAGAAAGATTACGAAGAGGAACCTACTTCCGAGGATTAATGCAAGTACAGGGGTTGAACTGAGTACCTATGTACAAACTGCGGTCGAGGTTCGTCGGATTTGACTACGGCGGATTAACAAAAACTTTATAGTCTTTAATGATAGGGCTTCATTGCGTCCCAGGTTCTCACGCACTGCGTGAATGACCACTTTGTCAATGATCACTTGGAGTAAATTTCGAAAAAGAAAAACACGGATAGAGTGAGATCTGTGACCAAGATGGTGATTGCAAAAGCAAAGTTGAAAGTAAGCATCAATGCTTCGTGCCCGGATAGTATTGGGTTTGGACTTGGTAGATGAAGAATATTTACAATTCGGGACTACGTTTATGATCAACACACGTTGCAATTTGATATACTTCATGACATCTCACAACGAAATATGATGTATCAAATGTCTCATTGAATAGCGAGCACTGAGTTCTTGAAGGTTCATCGTATAATATCCATCTATGATTCGTATGCTACGAGCCATAGGAGTAGGAGCAGGTGCTCGTGGCGTCGCTAAGGTTACGCAGCCAGTGTTCAAGTCTTTAATCCCTTTCAGGTAATCGATTTTGGTGCTTTTGGACAACAAGGGAAATACTGCTGTATTCTGAAATACGATACACAAGCATGGATATTTCTCTGGACTGCAGCGAAGCTATATGTCGGGACATCGATCATGTGATCAAAGAGGGCACTGTATTAGCTAGCGTCGCGCTAGCGCTTCCCTATATTAAGTACTAGCTTCCCATAGATAATAATGATCAAGACAATACAACCACCATAGAACTAAGTACTTACACTTATCAACCAAGTTGATACCAACACTATAAAAACGTTGAGAGAAAATAAGTGAGATTCACACGTTTGATGCCCGAGAAATGGATTCGCGAAGAAGACAATTATGTGAATAGTAATTTGATTCGTATCTCGAAAATAAGATTTATCTATCAGTGTTCACACTGAGTTCCCCAGGATCATGTCGATCATGGAAAACCAGATCGGCTTGCACAAATTGTCAAACGAAACAGCTGGGATTCGAAGAAAATCCGCCTTCTCAGGGTTTGTTGACCCTTTGTCAAAGTGTTGATGGGTGGCCATTTTTCCAAGTACAATAGTCGCAAGATAGGCAACGAGCTCGATGATGTAGAGATTGATATACACCTTCAACTGAGACTACGATCGAAAGCAAAGACTTTCATGTGGTTTCCCGACACCATCCAAAGTTCAAAATTGACAATCGCCGTCTCACTATCATTGAATGGCATTGTCCCCTTCTTATGGAGCTCTTGTTTTCTCACTGAACTCAAAATATCCCGTTTCCTGCCTCAAATTTTGTGCCTTCATGACTAATTCCTTTCGTATCTCGAACGTGTCTAATCAATTCGAATGTCTCGAAGGAGCGAAGCCTGATAACCCACCCCACACTGTTTTTAATTCAGTTCTCAGGAGATACAACGTCACAGCGATAAAACCCCAGCAGAATCTCACTATTCTCACTAGTCTCGCGGGTGTCAAAGGGCCTGCACCTGAACCCAAAATGCGTTCTCTTTCACGTCGACGTCCCGCATCGTGAAACGTAAATCCCACGTACAGATAATCCCAAACGGTTCCAAACACCATCAATACCCCCACAATTGGATATATAAGTAGTTCTAGGGCTCCATTACATTCTTCAGGATCTGCGTGTGCTTTGCATGGCCATCGGTGTACAAATTGCATACATCTCATGATAAATTCGCGATGGTATCTCGCGGTTAGAACGAAACAAGAGACTAGCAATGCTGACAATGGCATTTTGAATTCTCAGGTTTCTTGAATGGAGTTCTAATTTTCGTCGTATAATAGGTTTCATTTCATGCGGCAAATTGAGGAAGGAACAATTCAAGGCCTAAGAATTGTATAGAAATTTATTGCATCTTATAATGGTGAAGGACGAAAGTTGAGAGTGTCGGGTATGTGTCGGATGCCATCTTTCCTTATCAAGACTAAACACACCGAGACTAGGTTTGTGCTGGGCTAGCACTAATTTCCAACTTCTTGGAGGCCAAGCTTCGATGGAAAAGCTTAGTTTTATGGAGGATCTCTTTAAATTTATGGTCTGCAAGAATTCATTGTTTGGTTCTCAACCAATGAAGGATAAGTTCGAGAAATTAAACAGGCGCACATATTCGTGAGGTACTCTTTGTTCAAATGATTGAATCAAATAAAGAAGTGGATACTTTACCAGAGCTTTTTCCTCTAGTCCTCGAATATCTAAGAGAAATATTAAAGCTGGATGCAGTCATAGAAGAAGGAGCTAGCCTGAATAGGCATATAATGTATGATTAGAATAACACCAAAACCTTCAGGGGTATGGCTAATCCAATGGTAACCAGATCAATTATAATAAAATCCATTTTTCTATCATTTAGAAAACGAATGAAGCTACCTAGCTTAAGTAAAGAGTATTTTCTGGGGAAAATAGGCTCATTTTATGATTGACGAGTCAATTAACTACTGCTACATGATGTTAACTTCGTTGATCTCAGCAGAATATTACGAGATCATCTAAAACCAATGACTGTCCTCTACTTCATTTGGTATTGAGAATATAATGGCTAACGTCATTGAGAAATACTTTCTGAGCATGCCAAACTCCGCCTGGAGCTGACATTCATAGCTTCATTGCCTCAAAAGATCGGCAGTATGTAAAACTTAGCAATAACACACATTTCTTCCA